GCTCCACTGAGAGGATAAGGTATCCCACAGGCAGGAAGTCTACTAAGTCTGCCCCATCATCTCGCTGAGGCAGGACCAAGGCACCTCTCTACCCCCACACCCATTTCTAGGTTGGGCAAGGTATCTCTCCATATAGAATGGGCTCCACTAGGTCAATTTGTGCATTAGTGTTAGATCTTGGAACCACTGCCAGTGGCCTCATATATTGTCCCAGTCACACCACTGTCACCTATATTAAGGGAGTCTAATTCGGTCTTATGCAGGTTCCCCATTTGTCAGACCTGAGTCAGTGATCTCTCACTAGCTCGGGTCAGCTGATTCTGTGGGTTTTCCCCATCATGTTCTCGACTCCTTTGTTCCTATTATTTCTCCTCCCTCACTTCGATTCCAGGAGCTTGGCCCAGTGGTTAGCTGTGGATTTCTGCATTTGCTTCCATCTGTTTCTGGAAGAGGGTTTCATTATTATTATTTTGAAGTGGGGGATAAAACGCAGATCCTCACAAATGCTAGCACTCTATCACTAAACTACAACTCTAGCCCAACTGTGGTTTGTTTTTATTAAATGGCCCTTGAAGGGGAATAGCTGTATTACTGGATAGCAGCTTCCATTTCACGGAGATGGATGACACACAGCAGTGTAAAGGTGGTAGACAGGATACAAGTCAGCACTGCATGGGTTACCTGGTCTGGGCATTGGCACACTATGGACCTGGCCTAATCCTGTGCACCCCACATGGTTCCCCAGCCCCCACTCCACCCCACTGGTTTGGGTATTGAACCCAGGTCTTGAGCATGCTAGGAAAGCACTCTAAAGGTGAAAAGAATATTTTGTAATACATGAAAATCATGAAATTCAAATTTCTGTTCCAAAAGTAAAATATTACTCATTTCTGTATGTTCTGTGGCTGCTTTACACAGTATTGAGGAGTCACAATAGAAACCATGTGGTTCTGTCATCCCTTTATGTTATTGCAACAGGGCAGGCATGGAGAGCAATGGAGTGGAATTCCATAAACACCCTCCAAAGGGTCCAACTAGAAGCATTTGCTCCAGACACTCAGGAGGCATAGGCAGGCAGATCTCTCTGAGTAAAATTAAATAAAATGAAAGCATTTGCCTCTGGATCATCACTAGCTTTTGGCAGTATCTAGCTGCAGACATCCTCAGAGCAAATTTATGCAAGATGTCCTGGTGGAAGAGCCTTGACACATGAATATTTGCAAAAGATTCTGATGATAGGGAACAAATTACGTCAATTATCTCCTTCGAAAAAAGAATCCTACTCTCAGTTCAGCATAGTGCACACACCTTTAATCCCAATGTTCAGGAGGCAGAGGCAGGTGGACCTCTGAATTCAAGGCCAGCCTGGGCTACACAGTGAACTTGTCTTAAAATAATTTAAGACGAAATAATAATAATATATATTATCTAATAATATATAAATATGTATTATATGTTAATTATAGCATATATGTTTAATAATGTTAACAGATAATGTACATTTATTATTATTGTTTTTTGTTTTTCTTTTTTTTGAGACAGGGTTTTGCTGTGTAGCCATGGATGTCATGGAAATTGTTCTGTACACCAGGCTGGCCTCCAACTCAGAAATGCACTTGCTTTATCCTCTAGAACACTGGGATTAAAGACAACCACCACACCATGTGGCTCAATTATATTTATTTGTATAGTGTGTATGTGTGCCCATGATTGCAAGTGCAGATACATACCAATGGTACAGATGTGAAATCAGCCCAGCTGGCTTTGAACTTTCTTTCCTCCTGCCCTCAACCTCTCCAGGGTTGGGATTACAGATATGAACAATCACAAAAAAACAAAGGAACAAACAAACATTTCTATGGCAACCTTTGTCCAGGATCCTATTTCCCCAGACTAAGTAATGGAATCCTTTGGCTGACACCTTGAAGTTTTGTTTGCATTGCGTTTACTATTTTGAACATAATCACACCCAAGTTAAACAACACATGGTATGTCAGAATGCTTATTCGCCTGGGATCACATGGAGCAAACCTGATTCTGAAGAGATACTAAGGTACCCTTACTTATTTCTGCCTTACCACATGGGTACAAAATATCTAAGGACAAACAAATACAACTAACTCATGAATCAAATGAATGGACACATGAATCAAGTGCTTCTGGTAGTCGCAATGATACCTCTTAAAAAATACAAAACAAATAACTTCCAAAATAGATTTTTATTATGAAATATAAAATTTGGAAATATTTTTAAAATTCAGTTATAATGTTAATATTTATAAGCAAAAGCACCACATTAAAAATACATTGATAAAATGATCTAATTATAACACTGGCAAATCATGAAGTCTAACTATAGAACTACATCAGGGGTCTTTAGAGCTGAATGGAAAGTAGAGAGTAGTAGTTACACATAAGAAGTCCACTGGCAGAATTGGGAATGTACACCTACTATGTACACCAAATAAAACTGGGTCAAACTGGCTTGTGAGGACTAGTTCCCTGCAACTCTGGTCTGAATGAATCTGTAGTATTTTATATAGCTAATCCACAAAGTGGCAGGAAATTGGCAGGCAGGACTTCTTTGATAATATATTAATTTCTCAAAGAATATAAATAATGTGTTTGTACCTAAGCTACTATTTTGCAGAGTGGGTTTAAAGAAATGTGAAAAAAAGGCATTTTTCTCTCTGAATTAATCAGTTTAGGCAGTTTTGTGAATGATGGATGAAAATGAATTTATTTATTTAAAGCAGGTAGCCCTGGGTGATCTGGAATATACTATGCAGACCACACTATCCTGGAACTTGTGACTGATCCTCTGCCTCTGCCTCCCAAGTGCTAGAATCACAGGCATGTACTGCCAGTGACACACAATTCTTTTTTTTCTTTTCAGATAAGGTTTCTCTCTGGAGCCCTGACTGCCCTGGAACTCGATTGGTAGACCAGGTTGGCACTGAACTCTGCCTACAGTGCTGGGATTAAAGGTGTGTGCCACCATGCCCAGTTCTGCAGCCAGTTCCTAAAAGATAAAAATTGTAAAATAGTCTAAGAATTAGTTAAAATATCAGAGTTTCATTATTTTACTAGTAGAAAAAACTACATACAAGGAATTTTTAAATAAGAAATGCTTATGTGAAGAAGAAAGTATTTCTATCAGTATATGTATGATAGTAGAATCCATTTAATCTGTTTTTGTTGTTGGTGTTCTCTGTGTAGCCCTGGCTGTCCTGGAATTCACTCTGTAGACCAGGTTGGCCTCCAACTCAGATAGTCACCTGTCTCTGCATCCAAAGCACTGACTGGCATTAAAGGTGTACACAGATCAGGCTTTATTCGGTTTTGTTGTTGTTGTTTTTGTTTTGTTTTTGAGACAGGGTTTCTCTGTGTAGCTTTGGTGCTTGTCCTGGAACTTGCTCTTGTAGACCAGGCTGGCCTTAAATTCACAGAGATCTACATGCCTCTGCCTCCCAAGTGCTGGGATTAAAGGTGTGTGCTACCAAAACCCGGCTCAGGATTTATTCTTAAGGATCATTTTGAACTTGAAGTCAAAAGCAAAGTTCTAGTCTGAATATATAAAATCGCTGTAGCTCTAACAGCTGCACTGTAATGTTATGTGGAAGTAGTATCCAAGAAGCTACTACTGTGTCATCAATGACTTCACAGTGAAAATGTTTAGATACTTCTCAGGGATTTTGGTGACCGAGACATTAGAATGGCACAGCTTCTTTACAAAACTGCCAAAGGCATGTCACAATCCACATATCCTCACTAGACCAGCAAGACCTAGTTTAAATTTAACGGCAATGCAGATTTCAAATATAAACACATTTTTTTGTTTGTTTGTTTCTTGAGACAGGGTTTCTCTGTGGCTTTGGAGGCTGTCCTGGTACTAGCTCTTGTAGACCAGGCTGGTCTCAAACTCACAGAGATCCACCTGCCTCTGCCTGCCTCTGCCTCCCAAGTGCTGGGATTAAAGGCGTGCACTACCAATGCCTGGCCAAATATAAACACATTTTAAACATTACCTTCTAAACATTTTAGCTCAGAGAAATTTAGTGTCAACACAAAATATCTATCCATATAATTCCCATTTTAAAAAGTTAGCAGGCTATAAAATCTCAATTATTTCTGTACAATTTCATATGTGGCTATTAAGTTCTGAAATTAAAAAGTCAAAGCTGCTAACTCAGTCTTTTGTTTGTTTGTTTTTTGAGACAGTGTTTCTCTTTACTGTTTTGGAGTTTGTCCTGGAACTCTCTCTGTAGACCAGGCTGGCCTCGAACTCACAGAGATCCGCCTGCCTCTGCCTCCCGAGTGCTGGGATTAAAGGAGTGCCTCACCAACACCCGGCTCTAACTCAGTCTTCAAGCAACTGAAGGACCAGGTGTTTAAGAAATGCCTGGCAGAATCCACCATCAAGTGCAAAGTTCTTCTATCATATCCATTTTTCAAACAAACCTCTCTTAAGTAGAAGAAACATGTTTGACTCCCATCCCCAAACACGTTCAGGTTTTCTTTTTGTTTGCCAGTACTGCGGAGTGGCCTCAGAGCCTTCATAGGGTGGGCAAGCACAGTCCCAGCCCTGGCACTTTTTCTGATGGAATCTTTGATAAAAATTTAAAGCATATTCTATCTAAATTTTAGTTGTATATTTCAGCATTCAGTTTAATTATTAAAAGCACTACAAAACAGTAAGGATTTTTGTTTTGTACTGTTGTGTTATTTTTTGAGATAGTCTTATCATGTAGCTTTGGCAGGCCTGCAACTTACTATATAGATCAGACTGGCCTTGAACTCAATGGAGATCTGTCTGTCCCTGTCTCCTACCTGCTGGGATTAAAGGCATAAGCTATCATTCCAGGCATATGTTTTAAGACAGGGTTCCTGTAGCTCAGGCTGGCCTCAAATTTCTTTCTTTCTTTTTTTTTTTTTTTTTTTTTTTTGGTTTTTTCGAGACAGGGTTTCTCTGTGGCTTTGGAGGCTGTCCTGGAACTAGCTCTTGTAGACCAGGCTGGCCTCGAACTCACAGAGATCCACCTGCCTCTGCCTCCCAAGTGCTGGGATTAAAGGCGTGCGCCACCAACGCCCGGCTGGCCTCAACTTTCTTATGTAAAGGACAATGTCAGGACTCTTGACCCTCTTCTTGCCTTCACTTCTCAAGTACTGGGATTACAAATTTGTACCACCATATTGGCACAGCTCAGTAGTCAGGATAATTTCATAATTCAAAGCTAACACTGATTTACAAATCTTAGGTATTTCTATGGCAGTAAATTAACTGAAGTTGAAAACTATATCATAAAACCACTACATAGACAAAAAAGAGGAACACAGGTTTTTAAAATCAAGTTAACAGAAAAAATATAACAGTATACAGTACTTATGATGTTATAATCTCAGTTTCAACAATTCTATTAAAAACCAATAGGCTTTCTATCAAGTCTGAATCAATAAATTATTCAAAATTAAAACGTTTTTTATAAATAGGAACAATAGATGTCTTATTGGGTATACGAGGTTTTCAAAAGGGTAACAAATACTTCAGGACTGCTTTATATTACTGAAATGTATCTACAGTTGATAACTGACCCACAACACTGGCATACAGACTATATGGCAGCAATCAGGTAAGCAGTGCGGTCTGCTTGTTTTTCACATCATCATAGGGAGAATTCTTTTAGTAGGAAACAGGATGTTATACATCGATCCAATTAGTTAGCATACTTATGAAGGAAACGTTCAAAGGCATCATAGATGGCTTGTCTAAAATGAAAATGTAAAGAAGCAATTAGTCATTAACAAATATGGGGAAGGACAGATAACTCTTGTATTTCTAAAACTATCTCTGGTTAAAAATATCTGATAAAATATGCTTCTGATAACTCTAGAGGACAAAATATAAGAGGATAATCTAGGAAAAATCCTTCAATGTAAGATTTAAATTTTGTTTTGTTTTTCGAGATAGGGTTTCTCTGTGTAACAGCCCTAGCTGTCCTGGAACTAGCTTTGTAGACCAGGCTGGCCTTGAACTCACAGAGATTCACCTGCCTCTGCCTCCCAAGTGCAATAAAACAACAAAACAAAGCAAAAGTTCCCCCAAACCAGCAACAAATAAATAACTATTTAGACAAACCATCTTACCTGAAGAGTCCTTGTTTAAAGAGATAAGCACTGATATGACCCCCTTCTAGGTAGCGGATTTCACAACCAGGCCAGATTTCTTGCAGGCTTCGAACTCCTGTTCGTGGAATATAGGCATCCTCTTTGGCTTGTACCACAATAATAAGGCTTGGGTCAACTGGAACTAAGTGTAAGATTTTGATGCATTAAAAAGCACTTTGATTTTTTATAAATTCTAAAAATTCACCAAACAAAATGCATCATACATGAGTCTGTAATCCTAGCTACTTGGGAGGCTGAGGGAGAGGATTACAAATTCAAGACCAGTCTGGACAACTTAGGTCCTGTCTTAGGCCCTGGGGAGATGGCTTAGTTAGCAAAGTGCTTGCTGCATAAGCATGAAAACATGAGCTTAGATCCCCAGAACCCATGCTAAAAGCTGGACACACAGCTTCACTTATAATCTCAGCTGGGGAAGTAGACGATGACCAAGCCAGCCTAGTAGAATTAGTAATCACCAGGTTTGGTGAGAGAATTTACATCAAAAAATTAGGGTAGAAAGTGACTGAGGAAGACAGTTGTGTTGACTTCTGGCTTCCACATGTGTGTGTACATATAGATGAACATGCGTGCATGAGAGAGAAAACAATATACCATAGTTCCAGAATATTCATATAATAAAATGAAGTTTTATTTTTTTTTTAAAGATAGACTTCTCGCTGGGCGTTGGTGGCGCATGCCTTTAATCCCAGCACTTGGGAGGCAGTGGCAGACGGATCTCTGTGAGTTCAAGGCCAGGCTGGTCTACAGAGTGAGCTCCAGGACAGGCTCCAAAACAATACAGAGAAACCCTGTCACGAAAAACCAAAAACCAACAACAAAAAAATAATAGACTTCTCATGTAGTTGAGGCTGGCCTCAAGCTCATTTTGCAGTCAAGAAGGACTCTAGACTGCTGATCTTTTTGCTTATACCTGAGTTCTAATACTAGGATTACAGCCCTAAGATGAATATTCTAAAGATATACACAGAAAGACAAAAATAAACAAGGGGGCTGGAGGGATGGCTCAAGTGGTTAAGAGCATTGGCTGCTGCTACTCCAGAGAACTTGTGTTTGATCCCCAGCTCCCACATGATGGGTGGCTCACAATCATCTATAACTCCAGTTCCCAGGGATCTGATACCCTCTTCTGGCCTCCAAGGGCACCAGGACTGTATGTGGTGTACAGACATGCATGCAAGCAAAACACCCATCCACATATGTGTGTGTGTGTGTGTATATATATATATATATCAGTTACACAACACAGTTGTTCCCAGTTTCCTAAGAAAATTAGTACCTGAGAAGTTTGCTACATGAGTGCATTCATCCATGACTCCTTTCATGAATATTAGAGATTCTTTTTGAAGATTGCTTCTTTTTTGTTCTCTGCTGAGCAGGTGAAATGACTGAGGATTGTAACTTGCATAATGACTTTTGTTAGTTGAGAGTGTTTGATTTAGGCATTCCATTTTAGCAGGATCTTGCAACAAGTTTCCTTTTGAAGTACCACTGATAGATGTTTTACCAGAATTAGGACACTTAGCATTTGGTGACACAACTTGGTCTGTCATATCTAAATTTAACGTTCTGGAAACCAGATTCAGGTTAGTCAGCTTGTCTGCACTGCTAGGGAAGTGTTTCATGAACTCATGTCCCATTTTGAAAGAATCTGTCTGAAATACGATAAAAAGGAAAACATTTTATATTAGTAGTTTATAAAGCATTTTAAAAACAGAAGGTAAGAAGTATTAGCAGGTAAAATATAGTAGAGCATATATATAAGGGCATATAAAAAATGGTAAATTTCATGTTGGTAGATTTACCGTCATTCCTACAGGGCCAAAGGAAAAACAGATACCAAAATTTGAAGAAGATGAAGATAAACAGTGCACTTATTGTTGAATGTTTCTAATAAAGAGTCAAAGTTGTCAACGGCAACATTGAGTAGACAGAGGCAGGTAGATCTCTGACTTGAGACCAGCCTGGTCTACAAAGTGAGTTCCAGGACAGCTGCCAGGTTACACAGAGAAACCTGTCTCAAAAAAAGTCAGTTACCTGTAGGAGTGAACCCCACAAAGCTATCCTCCCATTAGGGCGGGGACAAGTTAATTAGCACAGGTAGAGATAAAAGGAAGTGAAAGGAAAAGGAGCCCCCTTTTTTCTCCTGGAAGCCAGGCACGCTTCTAACTCCTGGTCTGTGCGACTCTCTCTCTCTCTCTCTCTCTCTCTCTCTCTCTCTCTCTCTCTCTCTCTCTCTCTCTCTCTCTCTCTCTCTCTCTCTCTCTGGTAAATAAATATATTGTTTTCCATATATAGCATCGAATATCGTTATAGTTACCTGCATCAAATTTTACGGCTAAAAATTTCAAAATATAATCTGCTTTAACTCCAGACTTTGTGAAAGTTTTATGGGCATACCTGTATTATAATATACATTTAAGCACAAGAAATAGCTACCTGAAATCCTTTTTGAGGGAGTAGAAAACAATTAAGAATATTGTGTATGAAAGTTGTAGAAGTAGATTAAAATTTTATTAACTTATAAATACAACATAACTTAAAATAACCTTTAGTATATTTGTATATTAAGAGAAAAATAAAAAGAACAGATGACATCCTTGGCAAAATTGACTTGCAACTTATATGAGAAGTGGCTCATCAAATCCTTTTTTATTTTACTTTATTTTTGGAGACAAGGCCTCACTATATATCCTTTGCTGGCCTAAAGTTTGCCATTTGGACCAGGCTAGCTTCAAATAGAAGATCTGGCTATCTTTGCCTCCTGAATGCAGGGATTAAAGATGTACACCACCATGTCCGGCTCAAATCACCTTTATTAAGAGCTAGACTGAAGCCGGGCGTTGGTGGCGCACGCCTTTAATCCCAGCACTCGGGAGGCAGAGGCAGGCGGATCTCTGTGAGTTCAAGGCCAGCCTGATCTACAGAGCTAGTTCCAGGACAGCCTCCAAAACAATACAGAGAAACCCTGTCTCGGAAAAAAAAAAAAAAGAGCTACACTGAAATCAAATTTAAATCTATAATAGAGCTGGGGGGTGGTGCACACCTTTAGTACCAGCACTTGGGAGGCAAATGCAGGGAGACCTCTGTAGCTTTGGAGTCCTGGAATTCACTCTGTAGACCAGGCTGGCCTTGAACTTACAAAGATATGCCTGTCTCTTACAAAGATGTGCCACCACTGCCTGGCCAGAGAGACCATTTTGACCTTAAAACCCAGCACACATGTCCAAACAACTGCCAAAATGGGAATAAGACCTAATGTATCAAAGACCTAGTCCACACTTCTAGGACTCAGCAAAGTCCTAAATGTACTACTAACCTTGCTTTTTGGCTTCTGTAGTTGTGCTTCTTGCTAATTGAAGTTTATAACCAGGATGTATTTTTATATGCATAAAAGACAAAGAAATATGAGGATGGGGCTGCATTATTACCCATACAGTCACTGGCTGGAGATAAAGACTTTCTATTCTGAAACTGAGGAGGAGTGGATCTGGGAGAGAGGCAGAGTGGGGAGAGGGTCTGAGAGGAGGCAGGGGAAACTGCAATCAGGAGGCAATATATGAAAGAAGAATAAATAAAAAATAATTAAGTTAGAAAAAAAAGAATATTCACGTGCAGGACTGGAGAGATGGCTCAGAGGTTAGAGGCACTGGCTGCTTCTCCAGAGCTCCTGAGTTCAGTTCCCAGCAACCACATGGTGACTCACAACCACCTGTAAAGGGATCTGATATTCTCTTTTGGCATGCAGTATTTTCAGACAGAGCATTCATATATAAAATACATACATGAAGAAGAGGAGGAGAAGAAGGAATAAGATGTATTCTCTGGTAAGCTTACCTCATAACAGTTAAAAATTCCTCATGTTTGTTCACATACTGAATTTGTGAATTAATGGCAAAATATATCTTTCTTCTGTAGTCTAGACTGATACAACTAATATGAAAATCTAGCCACACTGCAAATGATAGGCCCTCTGACCCAGCAAATAATATTTCTAGAAAATGACAATTGTTCAATAATGTATATATGAAGTTATCATTATGTTTGTTAAAAGTAAAAAGAACACATGTATCTACTAATAGGGATTAATTATAAGTCATGGTACATTCATCTATATAGTAGACAATTTTGTATCAGTAAAGAGTAAAAGAGTAAGAAAACCTTTAATCCCAGCACTGGGGAGGCAGAGGCAGGTGGATTTCTGTGAGTTCGAGGTCAGCCTGGTCTATAGAGTGAGTTCCAGGACAGCCTCCAAAACAATACAGAGAGTAAGAAAAGATGAACGGAAATATTTTGTAGTGCTTTGTATATGGGGACACACAGATACACACACACACACACACACAGAAAAAAGGAAGAAGCAAAACCCCCAGAAACATTAAATAATATAATAGGCTGTTTAGTGAGTATGCTGGTTAGTTTTTGTCAGCGTGACACAGATTATTCACATGGAAAAAACAAACAAACAAAAAACTTACCCCACAGTATTCAAGCATATGAATAATTTCTTCTTCATAAACTGTCTGTGTATAATACTGCTTTTCCAGTTCCCGCCAATTAATTGATTTACTCAAGACACCCTGAAATAAAGTAAGACCAAATCATGACATAGCTTGCACAGTACTTTTATTTTTATTAATTACTATATCAGACAGTTAATACAATTGGGTTGAGATTATCTATCCTTTGAAAGGCCTGTTTATATTCTTGAGTGGAGTCTTGGAATTTGATCACTAAGCAGCTTTTACAATGATGCAACTTTCCCTAAATGATAAGAAGTGGGTCACTGTAGTCATGCTGTTTATACAAGTCTGTGCTCTGCTTAACACTGAAATTCTATCTCAACTGTGGTCCACTCAAGGCTGAGGGTATCTAAGCACTGACTCCAGACTCTTAACTGATAGGCTCAGTGATGAGCAGCACTTTGCCATTTGCTACAAGTGACTGCTGAAGGAATTAAGCATAAACCATTAGATTCGGGTGAGCAAGGACCCTTGGAAGGACCAGGTTTGTTTCATGCGCCTTTTCCTTTTGTTCATTTTCTGTCATACCCTCTTGCTCTCTCTCTCTCTCTCTGTGTATAAAATGGGGAGCGTGCATGTGTGTTGTTATTCCTCCAGCAGTCACTAAAACTAGGAATGATTCTGGGGACCACCAAGGTAACCTGATAAGTACATATTATCAAGTTTCAACTGCAATTCAATTACCGTAGTGAAGACCCCAGATGCTGTGGACCAAGACAGGCATGGAATCAATGGCATGGGCTTGGGCCAGTTGGATACTGCTAAGGAGGCCATCTGTAACATGACAAAAGTGAATTTAGAGTTTGTATTCACTAATGAGAACAATATGTAATACTAAAAAGTACTTTGTAAAGTTGGGGGTGAGTGAGAGAAGACATGAACATAAGGGCTGTAATACTTATAGAGTGACCTCAAGTTATAAATTCAACAACATATAAGTTTCCTTCTAGGAAGTAAGAAACTATAAAGGCTCTATTTCAGTTTGTTTTGTTTGATAGTCGTGCTGTGCACACAGGATGCTTCTGCTCCACATTTGGGCTCTTTCCCCTTTCAGTCTCTCCAGCACTGGTATGACAGGCATGCATTTGCCATGCCTGGCTCTGAGTAATATTTTCAAGTTTTTATAATTCAAATGATCATTTATAGCAAACTTCAAATCCATTTTTTCATATATAACACACACCGCTAATGACAAATACATGTTATGTAATCAGTCAGGGCACACTTCCGATACTAACTGCGCTAAGTGCTTCATGGAGAAAACAGTGTGGCAAGCAATCATGGTACAGTACTGTGGAAATGTACCGGTGAAGCTAGAACTCAAAAATGGGCTTCTGGTGGGAAGGAAGCTGTTAAGTTGTTGTTTGGCTAGGTGATGGCACAAGGAGGCACTAGAGAGACATTAGTGCCTCACACAGCAAGAGCCCTGTGAAGCAGGCTAGCACATTTTGAGCAGCAGGAAGCAAAAGTCTGACTCGCATTCAAGTGATACCAGAGAGGAAAACGTAAAGAAACCAGTCTGGGACTCAGATCAGTGTTTTGCTTAGCCCTCATCAGAAGGCTTCTTCTTGCAGTAGACGAGAAGTAACAGAGACCCACAACTGGACAATGTACAAGGAGTAGGAGGCTCTGAGCCAGGTGGTGGTGGTGACACATGCCTTTAGTCCCAGGACCCGGGGTGGGGCTGGGGGCCAGAGGCAGACAGATCTCTGAGTTCTAGGCTAGCCTGGTCTACAGAGCAAGTTCCAGGACAGCTAGGTCTACACAGAGAAACCCCATCTTGAAAAACAAAACAAAACAAGAGGCTTTGGAGAACGTGGCCTTAAAAGGATGGTTTCATCAATCCTTTCCTCAGAGCTCAGGGGCCTCTGCAGAGCAGAAGGAAGCAAAGAGGGGGTGGGAAGATTGTTTAGAGCCAGAGGTAGTGAATGACTCCAAGGAAACAGTATCTTCCAGACACAACAAAATGGATAAACATATGAACTCAAAGACTGGCAGCACACACAGGGCCTGAACAGGTTCAAACCAGATTGGGTACCAGCCAGAGAGGGAGAAGTTGACAGGGGGATCCCATCCCTAACCTAACCAAGAAGCTGTCTGCAATTGGTACCCACCTTAAAGGGGAGAAAAATGAGTCTTCTCCTAGGTTCTATGCACAGAAATTGATGGCCAACACAAAATAAATTCAATGGTATTTTTGTAAACTTTTCGTCTCATCTAGCTTTGTTTGGACTTTTTTTTGGGGAGGTCTTAAGACAATTAGTTTTTGGCTTCCAATATTTTTGGGGGGAAGGATTGTGTGTATATGCATTTCTTGTTTTTTTGTGTGTGTGTGGTTTTTATTTTTTATTTTTTTGTTTTTACGAGACAGGGTTTCTCCGTATTGTTTTGGAGGCTATCCGCCTGCCTCTGCCTCCCGAGTGCTGGGATTAAAGGCGTGCACCACCACCGCCGGGCTGTGTGTTTGTTTTTTAAAGAAAGAAAAGGTGTGGATTGGATGGGTAGAGAGGTGGAGAGTATATGGAAAGAGTTGAGACAGGTATAAAAGTATGATCAGAATGTATTATATGAAAACAATTTTTCAATAATAATACTAATAGCAATAATAAATAATGGGAGAAAAGATTGGGCACAGAGAAACCAGTTAAGAGTCTGCTCAGTGTAATCTACAAGACAAAGCACAGGTTCATGGTACTGGGAATGGAAAAAGTTAATAAATGAAAAGTGAAAATCATCAAAATACATTCTATACACAATGAAAATGTCACAATGAAACAATTAATATACACTAAAAAGATTAAAAAGCACTTTACAAGTCATTTCTCTCTAAGTATACAGTGTTCTGCCTGCGTGTATCCCTACAGGCCAGAAGAGGGCACCAGAACTCATGACAGATGGTTGCTGGGAATTGAACTCAGGACCTCTGAAAGAGCAGCCCTTGAGTTATCTGTTCAGCATCACATTTTTCTTCTGACCAGTAGCAAAAGTAAGAATATACTTTGAAAAGTTGTATTTTTGTAATCAACTTTCTTATTTTTGTTTTTGTTTCTTAAGACAGGGTTTCTCTGTGTAGCCCTGGCACTATGGAGATCAGGCTAGCCTTGAACTCACAGAGATCTTCCTTGCCTTTGCTTCCAAAGGGCTGAGATTAAAGGCATGCACAACCACTGCCTTGCTGTGTAATCAACATTTAATAAAATGTAAATCCAAAATCTGAGCTATACATGGAGTTATACAATATATGTTTGTCTATGTAAATCACACAAAACAACATGACTTCATTATTGGAACTATTTCTACTTCCTACTTTCACCAGCATTAAATTCATGCCTCAAGTACACTAAAAATTACCCCTATTTACAAACACAACGGCAACGAAATGTAAGCTGAAAAGACTCACATGTCCTCCCATGGATATTCCAGTCATCCCGAGAGGTCCATATCCTTCCCTCTCCAGCCAGTGCAAGAGAGCTGCAGACTCCAGAATAAGAGCACCCCCCATCACAAACAGGTCAGACACATTTTTCAAGCTGGATCTTCTAGCCTCACAAAACAAAACAAAATTATTTATTTCATGTGTTACATTCTAATACTTTAACAAAGGTAATACTTTTGTATTGGCGGCTATTGCTTCATTTGCGCATGTATGCTTCATTTGCACATGTATGCACGCCATGGTGTAAACACAGGTCAGAAGACAACACTGTGGATAGAATCAGTTTTCTCCTTCCACCTTTACATGGGTTCTAGGGATTGAACTTAGGTTGCCAGGCTTATGCAGCAGTTGATTTTACCAGTTCAGTCATTTCACTAGGACTTCCCCCAACAGCCCACAGTTACATTTTACTGGGGTTTTGGTTGTTGTTGTTATTTTTTCCTGAAACAGAAACTTGCTAGGTAGCTCAGGCTAGCAGTGAGCTTGTATGTAGCCCATGGTGGCCTCAAATTTGATATCTTCCTGTCTCTGCCTCCTAAGTGCTGAGATTTCAGATACATGCTACCATGCCTGACTTCAAAAACATGTCTTAATCACTTATCAATTTATCTTTGAGACTAGCTAGGCCTTTCTATATAAATAAGGTTGACCTTGAATTCCAGATCTGCCTTAGCCTTAGTGCTGGGATTACAGTAGTGCCATGAAACCTGGCTAGATTAATTTAAATAAAAATCAACATCTGGAATTTTCTGTTACTATTAATTTTTGACACAGGATCATTCTGATCCACTAGCCTTTGCTTTACAGTGCTGGCATTACAGGTGGGCCACTGTGCCCTATATCAGGGAAGTTCTTATAAAAAGAGAAGCCTGCTTTCTGCAACTAGAGACTTAGAAGAAAAACAGCAGACATTAAACTGAGGTGGCTGAGGTTCTGATTTCAAACTGGCCATCTCTTCACAGAATTAATGTAAGGAGGCACCCAGTGAATAATCACTAAGTGAATCTGTGCATGTTTTGACAAGAGTTAATTAGAATGCTGAAGCAGGAGCCAGGCTCAGCCTGGGATCCACAGTGAAACCGTGTTTCAAAAATGCTAATAAGCCGGGCAGTGGTGGCGCACGCCTTTAATCCCAGCACTCGGGAGGCAGAGGCAGGCGGATCTCTGTGAGTTCGAGGCCGGGCTGGACCGACAGCCTCCAAAACAATACAGAGAAACCCTGTCTCGTAAAAACCAAAAAAAAAAAAAAAAAAAAAAAAAAAAAAAAGAAGAAGAAGAAGAAGAAGGAGAGAGAGAGAGAGAGAGAGAGAAGTCGGGCATGATGGTACACAACTATAATTGCATCTCTTTGGAAGTAGAAGCAGGCCAGCTTAGCCAACTTAGTGAAGTACCTCATTGAGTTTCCACTTCCTGACCAAAGCAACCAAGAGCAGTAAATTGTGATTTAAAGATTTAAACTGCAGCCGGGCGGTGGTGGCGCACGCCTTTAATCCCAGCATTTGGGAGGCAGAGGCAGGCGGAACTCTGTGAGTTCGAGGCCGGGCTGGACCGACAGCCTCAGAAACAATACAGAGAAACCCTGTGTCATAAAAACCAAAAAAGAAAAAAAAGATTTAAACTGCAAGCCATTGTATTCCTGTAGAGCTTTTGAGGAAAAAAAGGGAAAAAAAGCAAACAAACTGATCAAACTGATTATCATCCTTACAACTCTTTGGATCAAATGTTGGGCTTTGTCTGAACTAGGGGCAAAGGTTCTACCACTGAACTCCAGCTCCACCCCAGACCAGTACATTTCTTGAGGACATAATATAAGAAACAATGTTTTCTTTCTGTCCCCCCCCAGCCTTTTTGTTTGTTTGTTTGCTTGAGACAAGGTTTTTCTGTGTAGCCCTGCCTGCCCCAGAACTCAGACATCTACTTGTCTCTGTCTCCTGAGTGCTGTGATTAAAGGTATACACATATTCAGCAGGAACAATGTTTCCTAAACATCATTCTAAAAATTATTCTGCATGGAAGAAATCATTAGTATCCCCATCCTATAAATGAGTTAATTCAAACTAAAGAGGCCAGGTTATATAATTAGTAAATGACAAGTTATCATTCCAACCCCAGTCTGCATGAGTCACAGTCTTTTTATTAACTCAGGTTGCTTCTAAATAATCTCTTTGGTTTTTAAGCCACTTATGGATAATGGAAAAACATCAACCCTGTTATATTTGATTTCAGGGTTTGGCTCCAGACTGAAAATTCTTGAACTATTTAGCTTAGACTCTAACTTTCATATAGTTTCACAAAATTCATTCTAACCCAGTTCCCACAGTAAGCAAGGTACACTGGATGCGGATCCAAAGCATCCACTTCCTTCTGGAGAACCCTATCCCACCCCTCCTGGCTACTGCCACCTAACTGGCATGGTAACTGTCTTCAAGGGGCTATTCCTTTGTTCTGAGAAGCCAGCTGCTTCAGGATGGTGGATAGATCAGTGAATTCCATGAGAACAGGTCCACTGTCACACTTCTTCAGCTGTGAAGTGAGTTCCTTGATCAAATGCAATGCTCTGGAATACCAAGATGGAGGATAAGGCATTGTCTTAAGTCCACAGATGGTAGTTTTGACAGAAGCGTGTGCAGGAAAGGAAAATCCATAACCTGATAAGTATTCCAATGAGGACAAAGCTTTGCCCTTTTCATGAAGGAAGATCCAATGGAATCAATCTACCAACAGGTTGCTGGTTGGTCACCAGGAGAATGGTGCCTTATGGGGGCTCAGTGTTGGTCTCTGCTGTTGATAGATGTGGCACTCAGCAGCAGCTGTAGCCTGGTCAGTCTTGGTGAAAGTCCTTACTATTCCAGTCCACTTATAACCTCCATCTCTGCCACCATGGACACTTTATCCATGGATACACAGGACGAAGTCAGGGCTGCCTGGAAAAAGAGGCTAACTGTCTACAGAATAGATCATCCTATCTACTTGATTACTGAATTCTTTCTGACCAATTTTCCCATCAAACTCCTTCCAAGTCTTTGAAAAAAAAATTAAAAATACTTTTAAAAAGACAAAGTTTGAGGCAAGGAGAGGTGACTCAGAGGTGAAAAACTCATACTGCTCTTGCAGAGGACTCAGATTTGGTTCTCAGCATTCATATTAGATGGTTCACAACCACCTATAATTTCGGCTCCAGGGGATCCAATGTTCTCCTTTTGGAGTCTATGGATACCTATAGTCACATGCACATACCCTGCCCAATACACACATACACAGTGATTTTTTAAATGTATTTTTAAAATCTATTTAAAAAATAGATGTAAATTCTAAATCTATCATTTTATCAGACATCAAAATCAAAAAATCTTAAAAATTAAGATTTAAAGTCAGTATTCTTACTAAGTTTTACAAGAGAACTGAAGAAGTGGTTAACCAAAGACTATCAAACATTTGTCCTCAAAACTGCAGAAATTAAAACAATGAACGAGATAGATACTTACACTTGGTCCTTGGGCTTCCTGCAGCCATTTGAGAAGATGGGTCAAAGAGAAAGTTTTAAAATAATTAAATAAACTCAACTCAGAACATATTATTTAAGCACAACAGTTAAATTTGAATACAACACTCAAATAACTATTTCCTAGTTACTTCAAAAGTTGTTTAGAAGCTCTCAAATTTTCAACTTAGCTACTTTCTTTTAATTTACATAGCTTTACTGAGATATAATCGCAAACCAAATAATTCACATTTTTGGCATTTATAAGTTAAAATACTCAATATACTTACAAGATCTTTACTTTAGATTTAAAATAAAAAATATATATATATGTTTTTCAAGACAGTTTCTCTGTGTACCCAGACTGTTCAGGAACTCACTCTATAGACCAGGCTGGCCTCAAACTCAGAGATCTACCTGCTCTTGCCTCCCCAAGTGCTGGTATTAAAAGTGTGTGTCATTACTGCCCAGCTTATTGATATAACTTATGTAAATGTTTATTTCAGAAATCTAGGAAATATAGAAAAGTATTCACAATTACTTTACTTACCGACATTGACACTAACATTTTAAAAATTATTTCCAGTAGTTCTCCTTATGTGTTATTTTTGTTGTTGTTGTTTGTTTGTTTTTCTTTTCTATTCCACATGGTTTGGGTTTGTTTCTGTCTTGCTTTTGGTACCAGGGATTTACCCAGAACCTTGTGCTTTTGTTCTACTATTGAGAGAATATAGTCTAACGTCCCATTTTAGTATCATATTTTTTTTTGTTTTTGTTGGTTAGTTTTTCAAGACAAGATTTCTCTGTGTAGCAGCTTTGGCTGTTCTGGAATTCACTCTGTAGAACAGATTGGCCTGGAACTCACAGAGATCCGCCTGCCTCGGCCTCCCAAGTGCTGGGATTAAAGGCGTGCACCACAACGGTCAGCTATGTCTTACTCTTTTACACATTGCTGATTGAGCTATCTCTCCAAGAAGATGTGAGATGTTTTAAGACTCCTAAAACATATATTAAATTGCTTTTGTATTGAGCTAATCTGATTTTCAGTCTGTAGTAAGTTCCCTTTCACAGTAGCTTTCCTAATACTATGTTTATTATTTAAGAAACACTGGTAACTGTTGAACTTTATTAAGAACAGACTGATGTCATCTTGAAACTTAAGTATTGTTCTAGACCTCCACTTCTACTATAAATGCATTTAAAAAATGAACATTTCTTTAATAGCAAACATTTGACTAAGTTCAGCAAAAGAACCTTAAGAAATAGAAGTAAACCTATCATCATTATAAACAGGATTAAAATATTATATTAGTCTCACTATGAAGCCTAAACTGGTTCCAACTCACAACCTTTCTGCTTCAATCTCCTGAGCACCTGGGATTATAGGAATGTTCCACTATATATGATGTATTCTTTATTTCATACTTTTTTTTTTTTTTTTTTTTGGTTTTTCGAGACAGGGTTTCTCTGTATTGTCTTGGAGGCTGTCCTGGAACTCCCTTGGTAGACCAGGCTGGCCTTGAACTCACAGAGATCCGCCTGCCTCTGCCTCCCAAGTGCTGGGATTAAAGGCATGCACCACCAACGCCCAGCTCTTTATTTCATATTTTGAGACAGGATAGTTATGGCTGACTTGGAAATTGCTATGTAGACCAGGCTAACTTCAAAGTCCAAGATGGGGCTGCCTTTACCTCCCAAGTGCTTGGATTAAAGGCATGTATGTTTTTTGTTGTTGCTGGTGGTGGATTGGATTTTTTGGGGGGGGAAGGGGGCTAGGATATTTTAGCTCAGGCTGGCCTGAAACTCACTGTGTATTGAAATCTGGCCTTGAACTCCTGATCCTTCTAATGCTACTTTTCATTCCATTTCTTTTTAAAAAGTGAACAACAATCTTCATTCTTGCTTTTTAAATATATTCTGAACTGATAACTAGATTTAACTAGTTTTGGAAAGGTAGTTACCACTGGGGTTGGAGAGATGGCTCAGTGGTGGAGAGCACCAGATGTTCTTCTAGGGTACCTGGGTTCAATTCGCCGACTACCACACAGCAGCTCACAACTGTAATATCAGTTCCAGGAGATCTAGTGCCCTCTTCTGGTCTCCAAAACACCAAGCACACAGACATACATGTAGCCAAAAAACTCATACACATAAAATGAAATAAATAAATCTTAAAAAAAAATCACTACTGATAATTCTTTTGAAGAGCAAATATATAAATGATGAGATTTAAAAAACTTTAAAGTATAACAAAAGGATATAATAAGGATTTTCTAGCAACAATGAAGCCATTCGGGCCTCCTTAATCATAGGACGAGCCATGAGAGTTCTGCGCCTCCAGTAATGCTAAGGAAAGAGATGACACACTTAGGACACAATAGGCAAGTGCTGAGAAGAAGTGCTATGGCTTTCTAGGGTTGAAGTACTACAACGTCACAAGTCTTACATGGTCTCCTGTCCCAGCCAGATGAATGCACACAGGTCTGTATCTGCTGTTCCATTCCTTAGGCACAATAAATTGGAACCTATTAAAAAATGAAATTTGCTTTAAAGGGCGTTAGCTACAAACTATACATATATTTATAGTTACTTAATTTGTGGAGAGTGTCTTGCCATTATATAACTCAGGCTAGCTTGGAACTTCCTGTGTAACTCAGGCTGGCCTCAAACTTGTGCTGTGATGACAGGTGTGACTCATCATGACTGGCTCTAAACTTTCGATTTAAAAAGTATTATAATTAAATTCTTGCTCTTGCTCTAAAAGGATGGGCCAGTGGATTTACATGTACTTACTTTTCTTTGTGTATGTATATGTATGTGTGTATATGTCAAAGGTCAGAAAACAACTTGCAGGAGTTCTTCTACTACATGAGCCCTAGGAATTGAAATGTTTGTCAGCCATAAAGCATCTCTATCTACTGAGCCATCTCGATGGCCTATAATTTAACTATCTGGAAAAAAATATTTAGAAATTTAACACTTAATTTGTAACTATGTGTCCAAAAGCTAGAAGAATATTATAAATCTACTTTCTCTTAGGAACAAAAACCAAAAAAACCATCAAAAAAAAAAACTAACATGAAAGCAGGAAGAAGACTCAGGAAGTTTTGGATTTGGTGAGGTGAGGAAGAGAATGAGAATATTGGGAGATAGAATGTTGCAAACAATACTATGTTTATGAATGAAGTTGTAAAAGGCTAAAATAATTAACAATTTTTTAAAAAAGGAAATGACTAATGATACCATAAATGGGCAAGAAACAACAAATGGGCTGTAGTCATGGCAAACTTTTAGCACATTTTGGACATGGACTTATTTAATTTGGTGTGGTGTTATCAAACAAAACTAAATGACTGGAGATACAGCTAAGAAAGTAGATAAGATAAGCATCTGCTTAGCATGTGCAAGGACCTAGGTTAAATCCCAAGGACCACAAACATTTAAAAACTGTGTATTTACATACTAAACATACATGTATATGCACACATACACACACTTTAAAAAAAATAAAGAAATTGAAGAGATGGCTCAGCAGTTAAGAGCACCTCCAGTTTTTCCAGAGGACCAAGTTCAGTCCCAACAAGCATACACATCAGATTGGGTAGTGGACAGCTCACACACACCAGGAACTACAGCTCCAGAGGACCTGAAAACCTCCCCTGGCCTCCATTGGCACCTACATATTTATGGCATACACTTGCATGAACAAATATATAGACACAAAACTGATCTAAGGATATCGCTTAGTAATAATTTGCTTTCCTGGCATGTGCAAAGACCCAAGGTTCAACCTTTAATACTGCAAACTAATTTTTTGTTTTGTTTTTTTTGAGACAGGGTTTCTCTGTATTGTTTTGGAGGCTGTCCTGGAACTCGCTCTGTAGACCAGGCTGGCCTTGAACTCACAGAGATACGCCTGCCTCTGCCTCCTGAGTGCTGGTAGTAAAGGCTGCAAACTATTTAAGAAAAGGAAAAGGAATCTAGCACTCTACATCAAGGTAGCAGATGAGCTTGTATGTCTAGAATCAGGTCTTCCTCATTCTTGCAATGGGTTAGGGACAGCTTTTCTGACCCAGTCACCTGTACTTAGTAAAAGTGAATTTACAAGGTGGCATTCAAATCTTAAGCACTAAGAACTCAAAGTCAACATCAGTATACAGGAGAAATGAAACTTCCCATACTGAAGAAATCCAAGCCAATCACCTACATAGTAAGCAACACAACCCTCCTTTAATATCACACTTAGAGAAAAAGGTGTATGTGGAGTAGTATAGGTCATCAACAAAAAAATAAAGGCATTGAAAAGTTGGTAAGACAAATTAGAACAAAGGATTTAAAACAAAACAAAACAAACAAACAAAAACCCCCACCAGGATTCTCTACATAGCTCTGGCTGTCCTGGAACTCTCTACATAAACCAGGCTGGCTTTGAATTCAATGAGATACACTTGCCTCTGCCTCCCAAGTACTGGGATTAAAGCATGCACTACCACAACCAGGCAACAAAAGGATTTTTAAAATTCCCATTATGATAGTTGTATGCTAATGCCCAATGCAGGAATTAGTCCTTTAAAAGCAAATCAGCACCTTTAGAGGTTTAGATCTGAGACAATTAATATTGAAGCTCATGGCCATGCTGACGATACATGAATAGGAGAGGTGATTCCAAAAGGCATAAAGAAAAATCAAAATGGCAAATGTTTTAATTGTGGTAGACAAGGTCACCTGAAAAGGGACTGTAAATAGGGCATTTCTAGATACAATCTTTTCTATAAAAATAATCCAAACAGAAGGCCCCTCCCCCCTTCTGCATTATCTAAAAGGTATGGCAAAGGCAAGTACAACTGGTCACCCACATAGTTTGGTCTTATGCAGGCTCCCCAGCTGTCAAGACTGGAGTCAATGAACCTCTACTTGCTCGGGTAAGCTGTTTCTGTGGGTTTCCCCAATATCGTCTTGGCCCCTTTGCTCATATTATCTCTCCTCCCTTTCTACAACTGGACTCTAGGAGTTCAGCTCAGTGCTTATCTGTGAGGCTCTGCATCTCCTTCCATCAGTTACTGGATGAGGGTTCTATGATGTCAATTAATGTAGTCATCAATCTGATTATAGGGGAATGGGAGTTAAGGTACTAACTTGAGATTTTTATTTTATATGTGTGAGTATTTACTCACATGTGTGTCTGAGCATCAAATGCATATGAGGATCAGAAGAGTACATAATATCCTCTGGGAGTGGAGTTACTGATAGTTTCAAGTAGCCATGTTGGTGCTGGAAATTAAACCTGGGTTCTGTGGAAGAGAAGCCAGTACTCTTACCCACTGACACCCATCTCTCCAGCCCCAGAATCACAGAAATTAAAAAAAAATTATATTCATTTATGTGCACGTGTGTTTAGTCTGCATCAATGCCTTACACTAGGTTCATGCAATGCCTACAGAGGCCAGAAGAGAGCATTGGATCTGAGAGTTACAGTACTGGAGTTACAGATGGTTGTGGGTGCTGGAAATTGAACCTGTTTCCTCTGAAAGAGCAGCCATTGCTCAACTGCTAAGCCATCTCTACAGACCCATCATCAAAGACTTTTAAAAATGAAATTATATTAACTGTGTGTGTACCTGTGTGGGCACACATGTAAAAGTCACAGGACAACTTGTGGGAATTCTCTCCTACCATTTGGGTCCTGGGACTTGGTCAGGTGTCTTTATCCTCTAAGCTATCTCACTACCCCGCAAGTGAAAATATGAAAGGCAAATTCTCTTTACGCAGGGATGAGCAGAGCTGGCATATGACTAAAACCCTTTGGAAATGTTTCTAGGTGACTATGTACATGTCTGGATTACTATGAAAATGGTGTTGACTTCCTAAACTTCACACAGTATGACCTCATGTCCATGTCAATATCAGTATGAGTGAGAGAGTAACTAATTTCCCAGTGTGGACATTTAGGACATTGTCCATACTCTGTGAGCACAAGCAGTACTCACATGTACTCAAGCTTCTTTGGATACATGCTGCTAGACTCAACTCACTAATCTAGCTTGTTGAACAGATTCTTACCTTGCAATAACAGATTCATTTGGCATGATACCAGGCACATAGTGGGCCATGGGAGAAACAAAGTGTCCATCTAGGATTTTACAATCTGACTGTTCTTCAACCTAAAAGAAAAGAAAACCAAGGTGTATGCAAAGTAGACAAAGGTAGTCTATAATGGACTTTGGGATGATAAAAAATTCTATTAAATGAAAAACTAACATTCTTTCTCAGTTCTTACACTTGAGCCTCATTTTTACTAACAAGAACTGAGCTACTTCCTTGGCACCAAAACGTTTTCCAGTGCTTACTATGTTTCCCTTTAGGCCCATTGTTTTTCCTGCTGAAAGATAATATTTTGTTTTTTCTTTTCCTTCCTTCCTTCCTTCCTTATCTGGTTTTTTTGCGACAGGTTTTCTCTGTGTATCCTTGGCTATCCTGGAATTCACTCTGTAGACCAAGCTGGCCTCAAACTCATAGAGATCCTCCTGCCTCTGCCCCCCAAGTGCTGGGATTAAAGGTGTGTGCCACCACCACCCAGAAAAAAAAGTATTTTTATGAGACTATTGATAGTTTCATATTTACTTAAAGAATATCATATAACTGATATCTTCTAAAATATTTCATGCCTTTTTTTCAAACTCCTCCATTTATACTTACCTAACAGGGAACCGTCCATCATGCCTTTTTAAAGACAGCTTCTACTTACACATATTTGTTTTCCTTCTACTCTACAGTCTAGTTGGGAAATAATAAATTTACTTTACACACTGGCGGGCACTGTCTGATTATATACAAGTTAAAGGAATTCAGTACCATTCAACAGGGCTGGGAGTACAGTTTAGTATAGAGCTCACATAACTATCAGGGAGATCTTAGGTTCATTTCTAGGTACCACAAAATCAAAAACAATCAAAAGCACTCAACAATATTAAAGCAATCAAAAGTACAATTTAGAAGCAGCAATAATTGGTACAGCCTAAGCTGATATCAAGTATTCAGAGTGGTCTGATGCCACACATTATGTAAGGAGAAAAGGGGATTTCTATCCGAAGTAAAGGCAATTTACAGGCAGCTATGGTAACAAATGCTTAAAATCACTACGGTTTTCAAGCTGAGTTTTCAATCTCACAAACTGAAAGCTAGCTTGGATTACATAGCAAGATGTGTCTCAAAATTTTCAAACAAAAGAGGCAATCTTGCTAGCATTCAATACCTAAGCTTACTTCTCAAGCAGTCATTCTTTCAAATAAAAACCCTATTTTCAGGTCAAAGGTTAAAATCAGAGTAGCAGGAAAGTATCACATAAACAACACTTAAAGAAAAAATACTCCATCCAGCCGGGCGGTGGTGGCGCCCGCCTTTAATCCCAGCACTCGGGAGGCAGAAGCAGGCGGATCTCTGTGAGTTCGAGGCCGGGCTAGACTGACAGCCTCAAAAACAATACAGAGAAACCCTGTCTCGCAAAACCAAAAAAATACTCCATCCATGTTAGTGGTTTTGATTCTTCAAATCCAGGATTGTGACTGTGAATTAACATCAGTAAATGGGTTTTCTTCCACACAGCAGGCATTCTACCAATGAACTACATCCTTAGTCCCTACCATTAACAGAACAAAAACAAGATGGGTGTTTTGGGGCATGCCTTTAACTCCCAGGACTCATGTGGATCTCTGAGTTCCAACCCAGCTTAGTTTGCAGAGTAAGTTCCAGGACAGTCATGGCTACACAGAGAAGCCCTATCTCAAAATAACAATAAAACAAAACATACAAACAAAATACAGAACAAGACAAACCACAAAATATAGAAGGTTGAACAAATATCTATTTAACAGTCTAAAATAAAAAAAAAGTTTAAAATGCTTTACCACTCACTCTGTTACCAAGCCTTGCTTATCAGATTCTAATCAGCCTATATTTTTGCACCAGTAGAATATTATATCAGTCAGTGCAGGTTTACAATACCCACTCATACATATGACTACATTAATCTCTGTCATCCTTCCTTTTCAGAGTATTTCTGATCTGACTGTACTGTATTTTCCCAAAATAGAGATGGCTTTAACATTATATACTGTGTGTCTTTTGTGTGTGTAACTCAGACTTGCCTTGAACTCACTGTATAATCAAGGAGGACTTTCAACTTCTGATCCCCTGCCTCTACTTGCCAATGCTAGACTTACAGGTGTGTGTCACCACAACAGTTTTATACAGTGCTGGGTGTCAAAGCCCAGGCTTTGTATGAGCTAGGCAAACACCCTATCCACAGATCTATAGCCTCAGCTCCCCAGATTCTACACTGATTAACTGGAACTGGACAGAATTAAAAAATGTTCAAGGCAAAAGACATCTGTAAAGTACTACTTTTAACCAAAGAATCACCCCCCCCACCACCTTTTTTTGAAGTGAACATAGGCTTAGGAAGAAAAAATGTGAAAGAACTCTAAGGAGTAGGAGGGATTCAAAAAACATTTGATTTTTATGTTGTTTACTATAGCTTAAGATTTCCTGGCCAAGTGTGACGGTGCACACCTTTGGTGGGCAGATTTCTGTGAGCTTAAGGCAAGCCTGGTGTACATAGTGAATACTAGGCCAGCCAGGGCTACACAGTGAGAAACTGTCTCAAAAACAAAGCCAAACCTATTTCCTCATATATTTTAGAAAACTAAGTTGATAAAAAAAAAAGCATCACAAACTACTATCTCACTAATTATCTAATACAGAGAGTATCGACAACTAAGTGAAGGTGTTAAGAATTCAATTGGCAATGTGAGTCTGCCTGCAAAGGAATAAAAACATCTTAAGACAGATACAGCCAGGCGTTGGTGGCGCACGCCTTTAATCTCAGCACTCAGGAGGCAGAGGCAGGCAGATCTCTGTGAGTTTGAGGCCAGCCTGGTCTACAGAGCAAGTCCAAAACAAGCTCTACAGCAATACAAAGAAAACCTGCCTTGGGGGTGGGGGTGGGGTGGGGACAGGAGACAGATACAAAGTGCTAGTGTTAAAGGAACCTACTTCTACGCCTGGCTTTCATGTGGGTACTGGGGATCTTAATCAGGTTCTCATGCTTGTTCCAACTAAGCCATCTCCTCAGCCTGAAAAAGCCTAAAATTTTTGGGGGGTGTGTGGGAGAATAGGGTCTCTGTGTAGCCTTGGCTGCCCTAGAATTCACAGAGATCCTCCTCGTTCTGCCACCCCAAAACAACACACTTAGCTAAAAGCTTAGCTTTTTTTTTCAAGACAGGGTTTCTCTGTGTAGCCTGGGATCTCTTGAAACTTTGTAGACCAGGCTGGCCTTGAATTCACTGAGATTCACTTGCATCTGCCTCATGAGTGCTGTGATTAAAAGTGTGAGTCACCACTGCCTTGCCCAAGAGCCTATAATTAAAAAAAAAAAAAAAAAAAACAGAGAAAAATGGAAATATTCACCAAAATTTGAACCATAAAGAAAACTTTAAAATATAATCTATATGTAACATCTATGGTATAGAGAGGGTTTCCATTTACAAGTTTCTGGTTTTTAAACCTGAACTACTTTTTTGTTTGTTTGCTTGTTTTGTGGTTTTTGAGATAGGGTTTCTCTGTAGCTTTGGAGCCTGTCCTAGAACTCAATCTGTAGATCAAGCTGGCTTCAAACTCACAGAGATCCACCTGCCTCTGCCTCCCCAGTGCTGGGATTAAAGGTATGTGCCACCACTGCCGCTGAGCTAAACCTGAATGTCTAAGTTTCTGGTTTTTATCAAGGGAAATCTTCTGATGAAGGAAATCTAAATATATCCAATATGTAAAAGATGCAAGTATACTTACTTCAACTGAAGGTCAGGGATGGATTGGGGAAACTCACCCATCTATTTCCCCTTCTCCTACAAAGTACTCAATCACACACACTTAGATTTCACAGAAAAGCAGCTGATTGCTTATGAAACAAAACAATTTCAAAAATGTTCTCTCCCCTCTCTAAGTTCAAAGCATTTTGCTTTCCAGCACTTTCTGAGCAATGTATTCATTACAACTCCCTAGTACTTCCTAATAGCTGCTTTTGCAAATAATGCCTAATGTGCTGGTTCTCCAGGTAGATTGCTTTCTTTTAATACTTACTAGTCTTCTTTAATATTCTTCTTTAATGTTGGATAATTGAACCCTCAGGAGCCTAAGGATACAAAATGAAACTCAGAAAAATGCAGCCTAAATACTGTGTATTCAGGCAAATGCTATGCACATGTTCCCCATTACTTATGAATACAATTCTGAAAACGTGGTTGGGGTAAGATAGCATTCTTTAAATATGTACAAATACTCCATGTGCGTCTCAGAGTGACTGCTCTAGGACTTCAGCACTGTTCCTTCTTGCATACCTTATCAATGTGTACTGGATAGTCGCTCGAAACCAGATTCTGGCACTTTTCTCGATTTCCAATCATCTTTCTGAATTCAAAGAGTCTATTAAAAGACAAAAAGGTTTTTAAATAGTTTTAATGTTAACCATTACACCAACTGTGTTATGAATGATGAATAGTGATTAAAATGAGCAAATTCAATTAAGAGGCCATGTTCAATTTAACCTTTATCCCTGATAGGAAAGGGTACATCTTTTCTCTTTTAGAAACTGGAAATTTTTTTAAAAAAATATGAGAAACTAAATTGTTAAGAAGTAATGAACACATTTAGGATTCAAAATGAATGGGGCCAGTCTTTTTTTTTTTTTTTTTTTTTTTTGAGACAGGGTTTCTCTGTGACTTTGGAGGCTGTCTTGGTACTAGCTCTTGTAGACCAGGCTGGTCTCGAACTCACAGAGATTCGCCTGCCTCTGCCTCCTGAGTGCTGGGATTAAAGGTGTGCGCCACTAATGCCCAGCTGAATGGGGCCAATCTTGAAAATAATTTTTCTTAGGTTTTCCCATGAGTTCCAGTATATTCCAGTTTCACAGACACTTAAAATTCAGGTTATCCAAGAAAATCAGTGCCTAGAAACCAAACACAACTTCAACCAGCTCAGCAATAACTGGCTAAAAAAAACGTTTGCACCCAAGTCACGATGCTATAATCTAAAATGTACCAAACTCACTAAAAGAATAAAAGGAAAACTTTTTAAAAAGTTCAATATTTAATTTCCTCAATAAGCCAATCAAGATTTCAAGCCAAAATATTTTATAACTGAAATAAAAGTTTGTGTAGAAAAACAATAAATTCAATGTAACCATTCATAGACTAGAGAGATGGTTCAGTAATTAAGAGCACTTGTTGCTCTTGCAGACGACTCAGGTTTGGTTCCCAGAACCCACATGGTAACTCACAGTCAATCACAACTCCATGTCCACGGGATGTGATTGCCCTCTTCTGACTTCTGAAAGCACATGCACATACATGAAGCATACACATATGTGCAGGCAAGTACTCATACACACAAAATAAACAAACAGCCAAGAATTCATGAAGCACACACAGACACACAGACTACCTCTTGAGATCTTCTGGTCTTCCCCATCCTCTGATGAAAAGTTTTGTGAGGAGAAGTCTCCGGTATAGAATATCTAACTTGCTTACACCCATGAGTGCCAAACAGCATCTAGAAGTAAAATTTAAAATGACTTCAAAATATTTTTACTTTTATTCAGGCAGCAGGTCAACTTTCTAACCATTTATTTGAATACCAGGTAAAATCAAAGACTGCAGAGTAAATCCTTGAATTTGTACCTGTAAAAATTCAGTAGGACATGCCGGGCTGTGGTGGTGCATGCCTCTAATCCCAGCACTCAGGAGGCAGAGGCAGAGGCAGAAGCAGGTAAATCTCTGTGAGTTCGAGGTCAGCCTGGTCTACAGAGCAAGTTCCAGGACTAACTCCAAAGCTACACAGAGAAACCCTGTCTTGAAAAACAAAACAAACAAAAAATACAGTAGGAGATTTAGAAAAAAACCGGAATTCAAAGTAGAGAAATGAAGAGCCCTAAAGCCTCACAAATGATGAATTCTTAAAGGGTAAGTACTTCCATCTTGAGTACAGGGACTGATATAAGTATCTATTGTGTTGGAAAGCAAGAGGAAGGAATGATACCCACATAGTACTGTAGTTCAGCCTGGCTCTATTTAAATTACAACACAGCCACATGTTTTCATTTAAGCTATCCAAGAACACTTGAAAAAGGATTATCTGGGCTGAGCCATAGTGGTGCACAAGTTTAATCCCAGCACTTGAGAGGCAGAGACAGAGATAGATCTCTGTGAGTTTGAGGCCAACCTTGTCTACTGAGCTAGTAAAAGGACAGCCTCCAAAGCCACAAAGAAACCCTGTCTTAAAAACAAACAAACGAAAACTAAAACTGAAAAGGATTATTTGAGTAATGCAGAGGAAAATAGCTACTGTAGGCCATATAGCTACTGGGGAAGAGGGCCAAGCTTCAACTTCAGATTGACCCTCCAAGATTTAGCAGGGTCACCACACTGACTCCTTGTAACAGTAAACAGACAACAGTAACTAGTGTTTCCAGTTGGGCACTATATCTCAAATTTCTCTGTGTGTGTGGTCCCCCCATCCCCTAAGATAGGATTTCTTTGTGTAGCCCTGGCCATCTTGGAACTCACGAGATCTGCCTGTCTCTGACTCCTGAATGCTGGGATTTAAGGTGTATGGCATCACTGCCAAGCTTATTTCTCAAATATTTCCAAGAAAGTTTTAATATCTACCTGAACTTTTCCTAATTAAAAGGGGTAGTTCTGGGCTTGAGATGTAGGTAAGACAGAGTGATTGCTTAACAGGCTTGAAACCCTAGATTCAATCCCCGATACTATAAAAAGGAAAGCTACAGTTCTGATTTATGGGCAAACTTGATTCAGGTTCATGTTTAACTGCACAGAGATATAAGAAAATGAAAATTTACATTTCCATCAATTATCTTTAATATCTATTGCTTCAAAAGTTTGAACTTTTATCTATCTTTTGTCTTTCTGATATGAGTTCAATTTAATGTGTTTTTTTTTTTTCTTTAGGAGAGGGGTCTCAAGCAACATAGGCTTGACATTACCCCTGAACTCCTAGTCCTCCAATCTCTGCCTCCCAGGCTCTGGGATTACAGGTATGACCCACCATGCCTGGCTTTGTTTTGTTCTCTGTTCTTTTTGAGATAGTATCTAGTTCTGTAGCCCATGATTGCTGGTAGAGCAGGGCTAGTCTCAGACTGTGGCAATCCTTCTGCTTCAGTTCTCCAAATGTTAGAATTACAGGTGTGCAACAATCCTGGCTGCCTTAACATTTTTCTTTTATAGCGTACAGTTTAACCTACAGTCAACTGGACTGGCACTTTACCTTCTTAGGACTGGACCAGCAAAGGAAGCTGTTCATACTGTTTCACAATTCTCATGACCAAACGTTGACTAGATACTGTTACTCCGTAGGCCATCACAAAAACTGCCAGGCCCACGGCTTTGCTTTAAGCCTACTTCTATAAACATCTTTCCAGTAACAGACAGTGTTAGATGTATAGTTGTAATTGTCTAAACCACAATCTTACAATCAGGATCACTTCTGTGAAGAAACACTGTGCAGCAAGCTTCTGTCACCAATGAATTTTTGTTTCAGAACAACCTATACACACTTATTTTTGCCTTAAATGTTTTAACTTGTCTCAGTCTCAGATTTATTTATCACAATATACATATCCTGGGATGTAATCACCTGCATAGTCCCAAATAAATTCACTTGAGAGTGTCTCTGCTATTAAAAGGCAAAGTCATTTGAGTTTCCTGTAAAATGCTTCTTGCTGAATATATAAAACAAATGTTCATGGTAATACCTTGCAATTCACTTTTGTAAACTTGCTGCACTTAGTAACAAATCTCTTGCTTTAGCATGAGTATTCAATTGAACTCTATTTTCTTTGGCAAAATCCATCAAATCTTCTAACTAGTATTTATAATATACTTTGCTTTTCCAATCTTATGAATATAGACAACAGGGCGAGTTTTAGCCTTTTCTGACCCTTAGGACACTCAATTTGCGTACCTGATAAAGGTCAAGGTGGCTTTGTGACGCAGCTGGGGCTGAGGGAAAGCTGAGGCACGCGCTCCACCTGCCTGCCCTCTTTCGCCGCGGCCGCGGGAATGGATACACCTGCCCACGTGCCGAAAGCCAGCTGGCCATGACAACGACCACTACCACCATAACCGCGGAACGCTCTGTCTCCTGCCCTGCTGACCCTCTGCGTCTGTCCTCTCACAACCAGCTCACAGGGATGTCCACAACCAGTCAAGGGTCCTTTGACGCGTATGAGGCATTGGATCTTACAGAATTTGCCAAAAACCAGCCTTGGTGGCGAAAGCTTTTCGGGCAGGAGACGCGGCCTTCAGGCGATAAGTACAGCGTGGCAACCCAGCTTCTGATCGGCGGTGTCACCGGCTGGTGCACTGGCTTCATATTCCAGAAAGTTGGGAAGCTGGCTGCCACGGCGGTGGGAGGGGGCTTTTTTCTCCTTCAGCTCGCAAACCATTCTGGCTACATCAAAGTTGACTGGAATCGAGTAGAGAAGGACATGAAAAAGGCCAAGGAGCAACTGAAGATTCGGAAGAGCGCCCAAATACCAAACGAGGTCAAGAGCAAAGCTGAGGAGTTGGTGTCCTTTGTAAAGAAGAATGTTTTAGTGACTGGAGGATTTTTTGGAGGCTTTCTGCTCGGTATGGCATCCTAAGGGGTATGGCTTCACTTCCGCTGCTCAGCAGCCTCTACACACCAGCGTACAAAAATCCAGACTCTCTTCCTCCTCTTCACGCCTTCCTCCCTGTTTAAATTTGAACCACTTCCATGGGCATCTGCCCATGAAAGTTAACACAGGTCCTCCCATGGGCTTGACAAGCCCTGGGGAAGCACACACTCCATCCAGCCAACAAGAATGGTCCTTTTCCCATGTGTAAAATCTGTCCCAAACCATCTTTAAGTTCTGTCCCTAACAGTCGAGCTGGAAGAGCGGTGCACAATTACCTTCCTATGCGCTATGTGGAAAGGAACTGAAGATATCTGACTTTGAGCATGGGAAGAAAGAAAATAAAGCGGGAACAGTTGTGGGAGTACCACACATTAGTCAGCTACTTTAGGGGGACAGTCTCCTTACAGAATTTACAACTAAATCGATGCTTTCTTTTCCTCTTGACAGCTACCCCAGTAAACTATAATTATCATAGTTATCTTAGCTGGGAGCTCAGAAGTATGACACTCTTCAAAAAGGGCAGTAACTTAAATACCTTAAAGCTTCACTAAAATCCACTGGGGGGAGGGGGCGGGGTTAGGGTGGGCCTAGGGCCTTGTTCATACTACTCTTACTAGGTCAAAATCTACCTCTGAGCTGTATTTCCAGTCTTTCATTTTGAGAGGTCTCACTAAATTGCTCTAGTTGGCCTGGAACTTGACATCTTTATGTCTCAGCTTCCTGTGGAGGTGGGATTACACACCCAAGCCACCAGGAACAGCTTCCCCAAGACCTTAAGAAAGAACTGAAGAACACATCTCCAAGTCCACTTTGCCTCTTCTCAACCTTCTCATTTGCCTTTTCCTCCAGGATTAGTTTGCAATAGCCCATCTAGTTGGGTGCTCTACTTCAGGGCCTCGTCTACTTCAATCAAACGTCAGCTGGGTGAAATTTTCATCTAGAAGCTTCAAGGAGAAGAATTTGCTCTTGGGCTCTTAGGCTTGGGGTACAATTTATATATTTGCAACTATAGGATTTATTCATATTTTGTCCTTTGTCAGCCAGAAGACAAGCTCAGCTCTGGGAGGCTATCCACATAGTTCTTGATCTCACACTGACTTTGTTCTCTCCATACAAGTCAGAAACAGCAGCTGACTTTTTTCATGGCCAGTTGGAGAGAGAGAGAGTGAGCCCTAGGTATCCAACACCTCTGAAGAAAGGGCAAGTGTGTGAGTGCAATCAGTGTTTCCACTTCCTATTGCTTAGAAGGTAAAAATCATGGGTCCTGCCCAAACTCAACACTGTGAGCAACAAAACACAATGATCTTAAGGACTACCTTGGAAACAGTATGTTACACAGGAAGAAGAAACTGTTACTTCTCAGTTTTTGAAATATGTCTGGGTTTATACTTTAATATCAGGATCAGATCAATAGGGGGGGAAAAACCCTACTAAAACCACAAACCCCATAGACCTGAGCAACCACTTGTTTTTAAGCCAATTGGCTCTTTACAGTTTAAATCATGTTTATATTCTTCCATTCACTTAAAACTCTTACTTAAAAAAAAACCCTCCAAAGGAAAATGCCAATTAGTACTTTGGTTTTTTGTTTTTGTTTTTTAGTCATTAAACAAATTGTAAGTAGAAATGGGCTCTTATGGCTTTCTTTTTGAAACAGGATCTCATATAATTCAGGCTGATCTCAAATCAACTTGTAGCCATGGATGACCTTGAACTCCTGATCCACCTACGCCCACCTTACAAGTGCAGGGACCATATGCATGCACCACTACATACGACTGGAAAAGTGGCTCCTTAAATGCTATCTCCAAGTATTAAAGTCATGTATATATATTCTACTTTAAAATAATTATTAAGTATACACACACTCAGAGACAGAATGTGTTTAAATTGCTTATTTTTTCCTTAAGAATAAATGTCAGGAAAAAAGGCCAGGCAGTGGTGGCACACGCCTTTAATACCAACACTCAGGAGTCAGAGGCAGGTGGATCTCTGTTATTTCAAGAATAGCATGGTCTACAGATTGAATTCAAGAATAGACTCCAAAGCTACACTGAGAAACCCTGTCTTGAAAAATAAAAAATAAAAAAGAGAGAAAAAAAATGAATGTCAGTGTTATCTAACAAAGTGGAGATGTATCTTAGTACATAGATTTTTTGTTATACATAAAGCATTTGGCTTCCATTCCCCAGTATCAACCAACCAGCCACAAAAGTATCTAGCAAGGCATAGTGACAGCTGTCTATAATCCTATCACTTATAGGCTGAGGCAAGATGGTCATGAGTTTAAGGCCAACTTGGGCTACCAATAAGACCTTATCTTTAAAAAAAAAAAGTATCTGAGAGGTTGAGCCTGTACAGGTCTTGGATTCTATAAGATCCCAGTTCTTTCCAGAGTTCTTGATCCTAAGACCTGTAGAATTTCATGAGTTATAACTGTTATGCTAATGAGGTGACATAGTGAGCTTGCAAATAGATTCAAGTCATCAGAAAGATAAACTACATAATTAGAAGTTTGGAACTTTAGGCCGGCTTGACCTCCACAGAGGAAGGGAACTGGACATTATGTTCTATCACTGGGCCACATAATTTCCAAGTCTGAGTAATATAACCCCAATACAAATTCTGGATACTGGCTTTAGTGGCACTGCTGGACAGATATCTTCCCCTTTGTTTTTTTGAGACAGGGTTTCTCTGTAAAACAGCTCTGGCTGTCCTGGAACTCGATCTGTAGACCAGGCAGGCCTCAAACTCACAAAGATCTGCCTGCCTCTGCCTCCTGAGTGCTGGGATTACAGGCATGCACCACCACCACAACCACCTGGCAGGACAGATATCTTGAGGTCTGGATGGAAATACTCCCTGATCCATACATATGGATCTCAACATTTTTGGCTGTTTTTGTTTTGTATCTGTACTTTAACAGGTTTTCCAGAGTTCTGTTAGTCGTTCTAGCAAATTATTGATCTACAAGAAACTTAAACTATTCTAATAGCCAAGTTAGAAGTTAGCTTTCTGGAAGCCTGGAAACCCCTAAGGTGAGACTGGCATCTAGGGCAGTGGCATCTGTGAACCCACACTCTTAATTTGGGGAGTTTGCACAAAATGGATTGTGACTATTAAAGGTGCACTAAATTGGAAACAGAACAGCCAGTGTACTCTTTACCTAATTAACAAAAATCTAGGGTTGGTGAGAAGGTATAAACCACCATGCCTGATATACCTCTTTGATTCTCTAGGACCCACATGATTGGAAGGAGAGAAATGACTTCTGTAAGTTGTGCTCTGGCATCCACTTTGCAGAGCACACACAGCATGCACATGCGCGCGCGCACGCACACACGCACACACGCACACACACACACACACACGTTACATACTCCCAATGAGGTCAGCTCTGGATAAATCGGGTGGGATGGAGATACAGTTTAAGGAAATATAATTCTAAGTGGTGAACAGTTATTGTTATGGTTTGGATCTGAAATGTCCTCTGTGTGCTAAATGCTTGATGCTCAGCTTCTAGGGTGGTAGTAGAACCTTATGAGGTTAGGGTTATTTAGTTCCTGGGTATGTATGCCTGAGGTATATCGAGAGCCTGGCTGCCCCTCTTCTCTGTGTCCTCCTTTTGTCTCCGCCTTTTCCAGTCCATGGCTGGAAAGGCGCTTCTCTGCTCCACATTCCATGTCATGATGTTCTTCCTTGCCATGGGCCTAAAAGCAAAGTGGCCAAATGAACACCAACTAAAGCCTCTGAAACCATAAGTCAAAATAGACTTTTTATAGTGGTTTGAATAAGAATGACCCCCATAAGCCGGGCGTTGGTGGCGCACGCCTTTAATCCCAGCACTCGGGAGGCAGAGGCAGGTGGATCTCTGTGAGTTCGAGGCCAGCCTGGTCTACAGAGCGAGGTCCAGGACAGCCTCCAAAGCCACAGAGAAACCCTGTCTCGAAAAACCAAAAAAAAAAAAAAAAAAAAAAAAAAAAAAAAAAGAATGACCCCCATAAGCTCATGCATTTGAACACTTGGACCCTAGTTGGTGGAACTGTTTGGAAGGATTAGGAGGCCTTGTTGGAGGTGTCACTGAGGGTGGGACTTGAGGTTTTAAAAGCCTCTACCATTCCCAGTTAGTTTGTTCTCTTTGCCTCAAGCTTGTAGATCAAGATGTAAACTTAGCTACTGCTCTAGCCCCATGCCTGCCTGCTGCCACGTTCTCATTACAATGGTCATTGGCTCAACTTCAGAAACTGTAAGCCCCAAATAAACTCTTCTAGAAGTTACCTTGGTGATAGTGTCTTCATAGCAAGAGAAAATGAAACACTTCTCAGTTTAGGTTGGTTTCCTAGGTACTTTGTCACACAGACAGGAAGGTAACAATGATTTAAATTATATTACTACTTGAATCTTTCTGTAATGCTTTGTATACTCATATTTTTGTATATATTTATTAAGCTGCAGAACAGTTGTATGCCACTGTAATACAGGTCCTGTCTTTTTCTAGTATTGTACACTAGGGTCAACATTCTCCTTTGGAATATCCATGCATCATGACACTAAGTCAATTCCATGTGAGTGAGAAAACAAAAACCAAATATTCTCCAACAAGAAACACTATGCTATTCAAGAGCTATTTCACTTCTATTTATTTTATTTTTTTGTTTTGAGATAAGGTTTCTATATAACTCTGGCTGTCCTCAAACTCCACAGAGATCTGTCTCTGGCCCATGAGTGCTGGAATTAAAGGCAAATGCCAACATGCTCCAACATGCCCATAGCACTTTTACAAAATTACATAAATTTCTGCATGTGTGGCAAAGCACCTAATAACAAAGTTTCAAATATTTTGTAATGAACAATATTTATTATATACCAATTTGCTCAGTCCTTTCTGCTTTTGAACTGTACACTAGAAAACTTGCCTAAATCACTTGCTTTCCTATGTAATAGACCATTCCAAGCCTAGAGGCAATTTATTTCCTTGTTACATTTACCTACTAAGCAAGCAATTCACAGATGAGGAACAGAAAACAAATCAAACATACAGTTTATTGTGTATTTGGTACCAAAACTTGGTATTATACAGGTCTTCTTAAATTACATTTCAGTCCCGAAACAATATAAAATGAAAGTTTTTCTGAGTCTCTAAGTGATAGTTCTTTTTCTTTTGGTGGAATTGTGTGTGTGCATGTGTGCAGGGTCACATGCCAGTGGAGATGCAGTAGCCAGAGGACACTGGGTGTTCTTCTGTATCTCTGTCTTGAATCCAGAGCTGGGGCTAGCTGGCAATTAGCCAGCCCTAGCAATCCTTATTTCCATAGCTCAGATAGTGGTAGGGATACAGACAAATGCAGCAATGCCCAGCCTTTTTCAAGTGTTGGGGACTTCAACTTAGATCCACCTGTTTGTGTAAAAAGTGCTCTTACCCACTGAGTCATCTCCCTAGCCTCTAGAAACAGATCTTTCTAGGCAGGGCTGGCCATGTTCAGGATCTCCAAGACTATGAATTTTCTAAGACAACAATTTACCATAAAGAAGTGCCATCTGGAGCTGTTCCAGGTACTAAAAGCCCTCAGGTCAAACAAGACACTATTGATATCCTGTACAAATAGCAGCCACTTTTGAAGTAAGTACCAAGCAAAAGGGAAAGGAACACTACTGCCACCTACATTTTTAAATAGCAAGCAGGAAGGGGAAAAACAAAGTGGAACAAAAATAGAAGTAAAGTCACAGTGCCAAGGAATGAAATGTCTTTCCTAGAAATGAGTTTTATTGCTAACATGGCACTCACATCTATTAATACTGCTCCATCTAGTACTTTTTAATCTCCTATTACTCAGATATCTAAGTATTTAAACAAATATTACTTTTTCTTCCTCGAGTTTTATCATGTGTATCTCAAAAATGGCATAATTACAATTTCAAAAAAATGTCATCATGGAAAGAGAAACCTATTTCTGCAAGCTGTCTTCTGTCTCACATATTCTGTAGCACATGTGTACATTTAAATACAGCAATTTTTAAACTTCCCTCTTGCTCCCCAAAGAGACCTAATTTTAATGTCATATTTTTTAAAATTTATTTTATTTGTATCAGTGTTTGCCTGCATGAATGTATGTGCACCATGCATGTGCCTGGTGCCTGCTGAGGTCCAAAGAGGGCAGCAGATCCCTTAGAAGTGGATGATTGTTAGTTACCATGCGGGTGCTAGGAGTCAAATTCTGGTCCTCTGCAAGAGCAACAAGTGCTTTTAACCTCTAAGCCATCTCTCAGCCCCCCCCCCCCGTTTCACACTTTCATATCACAAAGCGATCAACTCTGTTACAATCCACTACTCTTCAGCAATCAATTTAATTACCTTTACTCTTACACTGCAGAAAGTAAGTATTTGGGAAGGATGTAACTATTCTGAACAATCATTCAAAAAACCCCAACAAGAGTTTGGTTATATAGCTCAGTTGATAACTTTCCTTTGGAGCATTTGCAAGGTTTATTTCAATCCCTAACATCACCAAAAAAGAATACACAAGTCCCACATCTTTGAGTGATACAATCAGCAAGAGATTTATTTCATCTCTTCAACTTTTGCTCCTCTTTTTTGTGGACTATTAAAACACACACAAACACACACACACCTGTCCTCCCCACATTTGCTCTGATTGCTATTTATGCTTCTGAGAAATGAGTCTATTTAGCTTTCAGGAGTTGTTTATGTACTCACTGCATGTGTGTTTATGGTCTGAAGTCATCACTTGGAGTCAGTAGTGGAAAGAGCTAAGTTTCTCCACTAGCTGTGTGACCTTGAGTGAGCCACCTCAGCTTGAAGGTGGGAAACTACACTTGGGCTATACATAACAACAAATTATTTCCATCGTATTAACACCGAATGCTTGTTTTGATATTAAGAAATATAAGAAGATATTCTTACTGATACTCTGTGTACAGGGAACCTGGTGGTAAGCAGCACAGGTTTTACTGTCAGAGGAGCCCCGTTTTTTGATTTTTGAATTCAAGCCCTTGGTTGGTTGGTTGTGCATCCCTTAGCAATTTGCCTATCCCCTCTGCCTTTACTTCCTGGTCTACTTACTCGAGGGAATCCCTCTCCTCTTCAGAAAATCATTGTAGGGATGAAACGGAACTGAATAAGCATTCTTTCGACACACACAACATTCTGCCTGGTGGAATGCTAGTTAAATTTTTCTTCCACTACATATGCGCCGACCAAAAATTGTACCAGCCTCCGGGATTAGAAAAGATAACTGACACAGGAAGCAATACCATGGTTGAAAATACTTCATTTTCTACCCATCTATATTCTTGAAACCAATCAGAAGAGTCTACATGTTTTTGTTACTATAAACGAATCTGCAAGACTGAATCTGATCAAGTATCAATCAAGGCTGGATTCAGAAGATAATTAACAGAAGACACATTTCAAGTTTAGGTGTTCTCTAGTGGGGTATGCCGATTGACTATTGGAGATGATCACAAATGAAAGACCAGAGGGGAGGTGATGGCAAGCAACACCACACAACAGAGAGCTCATCTGGGGGCAGGACAAGCGCTAAACGCTGATACTAATTAAAACAATTGAGATTGGGTCCCAACTCTGCCACCTTCCCACTGAGAGTCCAGGTAACTTAGCTCGACCTCAGGTCATGGCAAAGTAGCAATGTGTCTGCTTCACACATCCCCTAGGACAGATGTGATCCAGCGTTATCTAGGGCTAGCAAAGAGTTGAGAAACAATGGTTTCTGGCACCGATTAGCTGACAAGTCCAATGGCAGGGATATAATAACATGCAGCGACAAGGAAGTAAACATCATCTGAGTCTCCTGATGAAAGTATTCAAGTGGAGCTAAGCAGGCTCTGCTGAAGGGGTATTTACAAAGCCGAGGCTCGGGGTTCCGGGACCCAGCGAGGCAGCAGCAACTGGCTACCACCTCAGTCCGGTCCCTCAGTCCTGAGGAGCCAGCGAGACAGCAGCGGATGGCTGCCGTCTCAGTCCGTCCCTCAGATCCCTCAGGTGAGGAGCCACGGGCCAGCAGGGCTGGAGGACAGGGGTCGCCAACGCCCTCCCGCGGACCAGGACCCGGCTGCGCTCATGCTGCCCTGCACGTACGCAGAAGCCAGGAGGGCACCGGCTGCTACTTACAGGCCGCTCGCAGACGTACGCTTGAAGGGGAGCCCACCGAGCCTCCTGGCACCGCCGCTCTCCAGGGACTGGACTTTCGCCTCAGCTCGGACGGCAAACAGCTGAACGGCCTCAGGTACCGAGCAGCAGGATCACTGCCAGTCCGGCGGGCACGGAGGACGGACGCGGGGCGGGGCTCCCTCAGGACCCGCCCCGAGGAGGCGGTGCTGGCCTCGCCACGCCCCTTCCGGCCTCCTTCACCGGCACCATCGCTATCGCCTCGCCCAGCGCCACCGCCACTGCCGCCTCCCGCGAGGCCGCCGCCTCACTCTTCACCCGCCCCCCCCCCAGACAGCCGGTCTGCTTCCGGCTCCTCGGCGCGCACGCGCGGCCGTAGGCGTGTTTTGACAGCTCAGGCCGAGGAGAAGCAGGTGTCGCGAGAGTGGCGGCGCGCCTCCTAGCGAGGGCTGTCATGGCGAGCGTGGGAAGCGAGGCCGAGCGGGAGCCTCTCCTGGGGCCCCGCTCGCCCAGAAGCAGGTGAGCAGGCGGGTGGGACTGGCTCGGTGCTGCGTGCCCACCGCCCTGGCCCGAAACGCGGCCGCTGCTGCGTGGGCCCGGCGGCTGTCCCCGGACCCGCTCAGGACAGGCTCCCGGATAATCGCATTTCCTTGGGAATAGTGGAGAATCGTCACCCGGGTACCAAGTTTGGTACTTGGAGAACTTGGGTACCCGGGACTCTGGGGAGGGATCAGAGGTCACAGCCGCTTCGCATTGTAGCCGGTGTGGACGCCTGCCTGCCCGAGTCCTGTTTTGGGAGTTCCTTCCTGCGGGAGAGCTTCGTTTTCCTCTCCACATTCGATTTTTCCTTAGTTTTGTATAAAGTAAAGGAACCTCGCTGCCTCTTTTACAGCTGCATTCTGTTGACCCTGCCCACATTTCCCCAAAGCCCCGAAGTGATGGTTTTAACCAGCACTCGAGGGTATTGGCCTTTTCCTGACCTGCTTGATGGCTTGGTAAAGTCTTGATACTTTGTAAATAAGCCCGTGTAAAAAGACTCATCTTTTGCGCAGTGCCACAGGTATAAAATAAAGATTACTCTTTAAGCATTCCTTTAGTATTTCAATCCTCGTAATTCTCATTTTGATCCTAATTTATGGGCTCTGATTTAGAAAAGTTTGGACTTGCCTCACTGCACCAGCATGCATTTTTACCTCTAGGTAACAGTATTGTTATTGAGTTTTTTTAGTCGAAGCATAGTGTGTTTGTTTTTTTAAAGATCACGTTTATTTTGGGGGTGGGAGTGGCACATGCCATGGTCTGAGTAGACAGCTTGTGGCACTGGGTTCTCTCTGCCACGCGGGACATGTCTGGCGTTCTCTCTGTCACACAGCGGGTCCTCAGGCTTGGGGGCAAGCACCCTGACCCACGGAACTATCTCCACCACTTTTTGCTTTACATTTTGAGACAGGGTCTCCTGAAACCCAGACTGGCCTCAACCTCAGTATGTAGCCAAGGATGGTTTGAATTCCTGACCCTCCTGACATCACCTGGAAGCTGCTGGAATTACTGGGATGTGTGCCACCACATCAAGCAAAATATAGTAACTGTATTAAGTAGATTTTTAAAAAGGACAGTTAAGCTTCAGGCTAAATCTTATTTTTCTCATTTGTCTATCTTCATCACAATCCTTTATTTTGACCACATTGAAACCCCGTGGTCTTTGATTTAGTAATTGGGTATGTGTATTGCAATTTTATGTTGATTTTTTTGTTTGTTTTGTACATGTGGTGACCTTACCAAAACAAGTCTATTTTAAAAAAATTCTCAAAAAAATTCTCCTACTCTTAGCTTTCTTTTAAATAAATCATTATGTTAGGATCCATCTACTTACAGATGTTCCTGTTCATAAAAAGTTCATTAGATTGAGGTTTTATATTTAAAAAGAAAAAGGAAACATTTTCAGAACAAGTCAACAGATGCGCTGCCTTTAAAATCCTAATTTGATTCCCTAGTTATGACTGACAGGTTTTTCTTTTATTGTACTGCACAAACTTCAACTTAGTTATCTAATAGCCCTTCCTAGCTAACAAGATTGACTTATTGATTATGATTTACTGATCTAATTGGCTCCTTTTTTTCTTGAGTGTCTAGTGCTTCCAACTGACCTACTTTAAGTGTTTCATTTAAGAGAATAGGGGTTGGCACACTTTCTGAATGGCCCCATTTGTAGATAGTTTAGGTTTGCTCAGGCCCAAAGGTAAAGTCAAGGACAGTGTAGATACTTAGACAACAAGAGAAAATCAACAATCATAATAAATGAGGTAGGCTGGTTTATTGATGAGAGAATTGGACTTTGAAGTTAGTGTTCTGTCATCAAATTGGTAACAAATAGTCACCTGAAAAACTAGTCTTAGCTCTCAAGCTACAGATAGCTGGTATCTAGATTTGACCTTCAGATTAATAGTTTGCTACTCCTACTTCAGGAATTTCAAATTTATTGCAGCTTTAGTCTGTTGCAATAGACTTTACTGCACAAACTTCAATTTAGTTATCTAACAGCCCTTCCTAGCTAACAAGATTGACTGATTATGATTTATTGATGTAATTGGCTTAGGTCCTTTTTGTTTGGCTTACAAGTCACTCTGTGGTAGAAGATGACCTTGGATTTAGGGTCTTCCTGCCTTCCCTCCCAAGTAATGCAGTAACAATATCCAGCAAGTGCCTCGTGCTTGTCTTACAGTGCACTCCTTTATAGGACATTTCATTCGTTATATTTCTCCATTTCTACACAACACTGCCCCCTCAGGAAAGCAGCACACCCTGCTTTCTCTTTAGCTCTGAGTCTAGGTGGTCTGTGCTTCAGTAGTTGAGTCTAGAGCTGGACTTTCACCAGTACAGTGCTTCTTTGCCCCAGGCTCTGTGCAAGAAAATACACTGAATCCAAAATGTAGCGTTTTGTGTTTATTCGGGTTTACCTAGGTGATCAGTTCACACCAGTGTATTGGGTACTCTTCTTGGATTTCAAGTTACAAATTTGTTAAACATTCTGTCATTTGGAACTGTGGTTATGAAAATGTTAGACTACTGCAGTTTCACTTGGAAGAAAATTCCAGTTGGAAAATTAATGCCAGAATGTAGCAATGATAGTAGACAGAAAGTAAGAGCTAGACAAAATCTTTTGGAAGTAGGTATAGCATTTCCTTCGCTTGCTTGTTTTGGGTTTTGTTTGTTTGTTTTAGACAGGGGTCTCTATACCCCTGGCTGTCCTGGAACTTGCTCTGTAGACCAGGCTGGCCTCAAACTCAGAGATCCTCCTCCCTCTGCCTCCTGAGTGCTATGACTAAAGGTGAGCACCAGCACATCTAGCTGCAGTTTTCCCTCTTACACCTGGTAAAGCAGAGACCTGTGTGAATCAGTCTCTGCCATATGACATGTCTGTGTCATCAAATGTAAAAAGATAAAAGAAGCGTAGGAAATTGCCTGAGGAACATCCCCATTCTACTGTTCTTACTATGATGAACTAGGAAGATGAATGACTCGTTAGCTTTCTAAATTGAAATGAGCAAAATAAAATGTTACTTTGAATACTTTGAAAGATTTCAAGTATATGGAAAAGCTGAAATAGCAATGTAGTGAACACCTAATACCTTTTCATTTAGTCTTTTCCACACCAATCAAATATCTTCTTATACACACACACAGACACACACACACACATACATTCACACACTTTTTGCCAAACTGAAGTTTCAGACATTGTAATGCTTAGTCCAAGTATATTTTCAAAGCTGACCTCTCCCAAGAAAAAAATACATCCCTTATACAACTCCATCATTATTACACTACTAGAAGTACCAATACATAAATGAAATACCAGCACAAGTACCAATTTATGTTCCGTATTCCTTGTTTCTCTAGTTGTTCCAATAATGTTATAAGCAAACACACATAAACATACACAAACACACTTTATATATACACAAGACAATTCCTGTTTGTGTGTTGGTTCTACCCTGTTTTAAACTCTTTAGGTTAGAACTGTCCCAGCACTTGGAAGGTAGAGGCAGGTGAATCTTTGTAAGTTCCAGGCCAGTCTGGTCAACATACTGAATTCCAGGACAGCCAGGGCTACATAGAGAGGCCCTGTATCACAAAACAAAGCAAAACCAACTGTCACTGCACCTATCTGCTCGTGTGACAACTGACTCTTAGGTTTAGGTCAGTGCACCTAAGGGCTTTCTCACAATCTGGATTAATGGACTGTTTCTTTCTTGGTTACAAGACTGTCACATGAGTAATATTGAGAAATGCTAATATATTCCGTCAGAAGTGCAGGCTGCCAGTCCCTAATGAACAGGAATGCATACTCCATCATTTGTTAGAAGAATGGACACTGAGCCGGGCGGTGGTGGCCCACGCCTTTAATCCCAGCACCTGGGAGGCAGAGGCAGGCGGATCTCTGTGAGTTCCAGCCCGGGCTGGACCGACAGCCTCCAAAACAATACAGAGAAACCCTGTCTCGTAACAAAGAATGGACACTGAAGCTTTCATTATCAATGTGGATTTCTTGTTTTGTGATTAGACTTTAGACAGTGGGAGTTTTCCTGCCCTCAAATAGCCCTTCAAGCAAAATTTGAGCATTTTTGTTTTCATTATATAGAAGGTAGCCACTAAATCCTAGCTTTAAATTTTCTCATCCCTTCAATTTTTAAGAGATATTATTATAAGAAGACAATTAGGGGCTAGAGAGATTGTTTAGCAGTTATGAGCACTTGTTACTCTTACAGAAGACCCAGGTTTGGTTCCTACCATCCATAAGGTAGCTCATAACCATTTGTAACACTGTTTCCAGGGGATCTGTGACCCTCTTCTGGCCTCTGTGGCACTGCATATATTTGGTAAACAGAAATGAAAGCAAAACACCCATGCATGGGCTGGAGCAGTGGCTCAGAGGTTAAAAGCACTTGCTCTTCCAGAGGTCCTGAGTTCAATTCCCAGCAACCACATGGTGACTCACAACCATCTATAATGAGACTTTGTGCCCTCTTCTGGCATGAAGACAGAAGATTGTATACATAATAACTAAATAAATTAAAAAAAAACACCCATGCGTATAAAATGAAAAGCAAATTTAAAAAGTGAAGAGAATTTCATTAAAAAAATAGAGACAGAAATTTTGCTATATATCCCAGGCTGATATGGATCTTGAAATCTCAGCGTCTTTCCCATTTTTTTTTCCAGACAAAAGAGTGTTTTGGAGCCCAGACTGGCCTTGAAGTCACTATGTAGCCCAAGATGACCTGGAACTCCTGATCCTGCTGCCTAGTGCTGAGATATTGGGGCTTAAACCACCACACCTGTTTTGCCTTAGCTTCTTGATTACAGGCTTGGCAAGAAAAGTTTGTTTTTGTTTTCTTTTTGAGACAGGTTCTCTGTAGCCTAGGTTGCCCTACAGTCACTACATAGCCCAGGTTGGCCTTGAATGTTGTAACTGCTTTAGACTTGGAAAGTTTTTTCCCTCTAACTGAGCTTCCAGTCAGGGTAGAGTCACTTGAGCTTTTTTTTCTTACCTTTCTTCCATAAGTAATTTACTTCTCAGTTCCCCAGCTGAGGCAGAGCCTAGGGAAATAGTTAAAATTGTCCGGATACTTCTTTTAAAGCGATAATGTGTTTAATTACTAATTTCCAGAAAATAGTAATGGGCCACTGAAAGTATAATACTAAGGATTAAATTGATATGAGAGACCATACTGTGGGATTCAATGATGCATTCTTTTCCCAGTATGTGGTTAACTGAATTTAATTTGGGGTATGTTGATTTTGTAATACAGGCTTCTTGAGTGTTAGCATTTTTTTAGCTTATTTTTGGTTTGGGTTTTTTTTTCCTTCCAGTTTTTTGAGACAGTGTTTCTCTGTGACTTTGGAGCCTGTCCTGGAACTAGCTTATAGACCAGGCTGGTCTCGAACTGACAGAGATCCTCCTGCCTCTGCCTCCCGAATGCTGGGATTAAAGGTGTGCACCACCACTGCCCAGCAGCATTTTTCAGGTATTTTATATCACAATTAAAAGGTCTCTGTGTGTAGGTCACAATATTATATATGCAGTATTTTAAGGATTTAAAATGTATTAGTCCTGGGGGCTGGAGAGATGACTTAGTGGGCAAGGGAGTTTGCTTCTGAGCTTGATGACATTAACTTTGATCCTTGGATCTACAGGGTAGAAAGAGAGAACTGACTACCAGTTTATCCTCTCTATAAGCATGGTGTAACACTCAAACCCATACACATATACATACTAAAGTAATAAGTAAATGTATATGTATTAGTAATGAATATCCTTGTCAAGCAGTATCTCTAAAATATGTTTCTCTTCTTCCCTTTCTGCCATTTATAAACATCACACTTGAAAAAAGAAAGCTTCTTCATTGGTGATTAAATTTGACAACATCAAGGTCTACTTTGTAAAATAGTGTTGGGCCACAGATTTCGTGGTACAGAACTTCACTGAAGCAGGGCAATTTAGACTCTGGGTCCAGCCTGGGCTACCTAGAAAGACCTTATTCCAACAACACAATGGCAGCAGCAACAACAAATCAACCAAACCCTTTCTCCAAAAGAAAATACTCTTGGAACATAAGTAGGCATTTTGTCTGTTAAGTGTGTCTTGCCTTTTGGAAAAGTAGTGCTCACACAAGATAAGTTGCCAACTCTGGTACCTTTGTGATCACTTAATGAGCATAAACACTCAGGTATCACCAAATAGGATGTCAACTGATATATTTGCTTTTAGTGCAGATTATAATTATCCAGAATATAAAACCAATCTGCTCTATCATCATAAGCTCTTTGGTCTACAAGAAGACTCTGTTTGGCAATTCATATCAGAGCAAAGGTCAGTGCTCTAGGAAGCTCTGGGCTGGGTGATTCAGGTGACATCATCCAGTCAGAACAGCTCACAGTGAAGGTAATATGCTGCCATCAAGTAGGACATGCAGAAATATGAGAGTAATTATTGAAAAAAAATCTATCTTTAATGTATTCATTTATTTTTGTGTGTCATGGTATATCTGTAGAGGTCAGTCAACAATTTGGGGGAGTCAGTTCTATCCACCATGTGGGTTCAAGGGAGGGAATTCAGGTCATCAGGGAGGTACCTTTCCCCATCTTACCATCCCTGGTAATTAATTTTTTATATATCTCATTTGTGGGAGATCTGTTTCTTGTGGCTAGTTTATGTAACTTTTCCTAGGAAAATGTATTCATTCATCCTGTTAGATTAACAAGTTTCTATTGAATTCAGCAATGGAAAAGTAGAGCTGGGGAAATGACTCAGTGGTGAAAATGCTTGCTGAGCGATCAAGAAGACTAGAATTTGGATCCCTAGAAACTGTCGTTAAGTGTCACATGGGTATGATGGCCCACTGTAATTCCAGCATCGGAATTTAAAAACCGATTCCTAGAACAACCTGGCTAGCCAGACTAGCTATATCTGCTGTAAGGCCTCCACAGGCATACCATATAAACATGAAAACTTGAAAAAGAAAAAAACAGTAAATTGCTTTGAAAAACGTTTTATTTATTTATTTATTTATTTTGGTTTTTCGAGACAGGGTTTCTCTGTATTGTTTTGGAGCCTGTCCTGGAACTCACTCGGTAGACCAGGCTGGTCTCGAACTCACAGTGATCCGCCTGTCTCTGCCTCCCGAGTGCTGGGATTAAAGGCGTGCGCCACCAACGCCCGGCTAAAACGTTTTATTTTTTAAAGATGTATCTTCTAAATGGTGCATTAATATACAATCCGGTAAAATTTAAAATGCTTATTCAGAGCTTCCAATATTAATAAATTATGCCTGTTGTATAATTTTTATATCTTTAGAGAAGACAATAAAATTATTAAATACCTGCCCCTAAAGACCAGGAAGTACAGCCCTTATGAATTATCTAAAATGCATGTGATTTTCCAGTTCTTGGATCTTTGAAGGAGATGGTACAGAGTTTTGATTTTTTCTTTTTCTTTTTCATTCCCTTTTTCTTTTTTCCTCCCTCCCTCCCTTCCTTTTTTCCTTTCTTTCATTTTTTTTTGGGACAGGGTTTTTCTGTGGAACAGCCCTAGCTGTCCTGGAACTAGCTCTGTAGACCAGGTTGGCCTTAAACTCACAGAAATTTGTTTGCCTCTGGCTCCCAAGTGCTGGGATTAAAGACTTGCACCACCACCGCCCGCAGGTACAGAGTGTCTTAATGGATTTGGAGTTTTGAGATTAGGAACACTCAGCCTGTTAACCCTTTTCTTCTTTCCACCTAGAGAATGGGACATGGTAGAAACACAAGAGCATTACAAGAGTAGATGGAGATCTGTTAGGATTCTCTACCTCACTATGTTTCTCAGCAGTGTGGGTAAGTGCTGGAAGTTACACACTCTTCTACAGTTCAGAGTAAAATGCTTTAGCATTGTGGTAGTTTTAAGATAATTTACTTATCTATTCATTTGTTGTTGCTTTTTGTTTGTTTTTGTTTTTTAAGACAGGGTTTCTCTGTGTAGCTTTGGAGCCTGTCCTGGAACGTACTCTGTATACCAGGCTGGCCTTGATCTCACAGAGATTCACCTGCCTCTGCCTCCTGAGTGCTAGGATTAAAGGTGAGTGCCACCACCAAATGGCTTGTTTCTTTAAGACAGGATTTTTCTGTGTAGCCCTGGCTATCCTGGCGCCTTCTTTGTAGACTAGACTGACCTCAGAGATCTGCCTGGCTCTGTTTCCCAAGTACTGGGATTAAAGGCATGCCCATTTTACTTACCTATTTAGAAAAAAAAAAAAAAAACCTTGCTATGTAGCCTTGAACTCAGGATTCTGCTGCCCCAGCTTCCCTAGTGCTGGGACTGACTTTTTTTTCTACTTTAAAACATTTAGTTTTTATTACTCAGCTGTCTAAGAAACAACTTCAAGTTTAATAAGAGAAAAAGAAAAAATACTTCAGATGTTAATTGACGAGTTAAACATTTTACTTGATGTAACTTCATTCTAAAGTGTACTTTTTAAAATCCCCTGTGTGGGAGAGGTTTTCTAACAGTTTCACACTGTGTCCTACACTGTTGATCCTCCTGCCTCAGCTTCCTAAGTACTGAGAGTGCAGGTGTTGACTGCCTAGGAAATGGTTCTTTAATTTATTCATCAGAGTCAATTCAATTCAAAATACAAAGAGAGCTGGGTGCCCCTCAGTGGTAGAGTGATGCCTGACATGGGTTCAACTCCCAAGACCCCCATACCTAAAGTAAAACAAAAACATGAAGAAGAGACTGATAATAATGTGTATTACATTCAAAACAGACTATGGGGACATGGAGATGGCTCAGTGGATAAAAGCATTTGCCATGCAAGCCTGGCCACTGAGTTCAACTAGTGACCTGAGTTGGATCTCTGGAACCTACAGGGTTCTACAAGCTTTCCTCTGTCCTCCGCATGTGTGCCTGTACTCATATACACGTGTGTGTCTCCCCCACAGTAATAATGAAATTAAAACAAAAGCCAGAATATAGACTTAACAGCAAGAGTACACAGTGGGACCCTATCTTAAAACAAGATTTGTTTTATCTATAGGAGTGTTTTGCCTGCATGTATGTATGTGCACCATGTGTATATACGAGGAAGTCATAAGAAGCTGTTGGGTCTTCTGAAACTTGTGAGCTGGAGTTACAGATAGCTGTGAGCCACCATATGGGTGTTGGAAACTTAATTTAGGTCCTCTAGAAGAACAAGTGCTCTTAACCACTGAGCTATTCTTCAAGCCCAAGAAAAATAGACTTCATGAAAGAAAGAAGTACTTACTAATAGACAGTATCATGAATCTTAGGGCTTTTGCTTGGTGAAAGAAGCCAGAACTGCCTGACTCTTCCCTTTCCCGTTAGCACGAGGGTTATGAATGATGACCCCTGCAGCCGGCTTTTATATAATGTTGGGGGTTTAAACTAAGGTCTTCATGCCTGTGTATCAAACACTTTACAGACTGAACCATCTTCCCAGCCCCAGTGCATTTTGAATATAGTTGCCCTCCTATTGCCCTCTCCTACCCTCTTACATGAATTGTATGTTTTAAAGGGGTGAGTCATTTGGACATGAATCATATCTTAATACATTTTTCTTTATGTAAATCAGTGTCTCAAATTGGTTTGAAACTCCTGATCCTCCTGGCTCAGTCTCCTGAGTGCTGAGATTACAGTATTGGACCACCACACCCAGCAGTAAAGCTAAACATTTAAATGTAGGCTTTCCATAATTTCTGAGATGATTTGCCTCACATTTAGAATGGACAAATAGGGTTGGCTTGTAACTGGGTGGTAGAGTACTTATCTCAAATGCATGAGGCCATGGGTTTGATCCCCATCACTTCAGAAAGGTGAAAAAAGAACATTGACAAATAGAACAGTTTTTTAAATCATAGTTCTTAAGTGCTTTTGTAGTATGACCATCTTCAAGTTTTTTAGTTAATATTACCTCCCTTGAGATGGTGTTCCCTCTTTCTTATTGTTGCTGCAGTGGATTGCTGTTTTAAACAGCGCAGAAGACTTGTCCTTCCTTTTGACAACCGTGGCCTTTCCTCCACTCGTGTCTGCCATGAAGGCTCAGCAAAGTGTTCCGTAATTTCCACTTACAACGTTTACAACAAGGGATATGAGAAGAGGCAGACCCTTTGCTCTTGCTGTATTAGGCGAGGAAGGGACTATGATTACCTTGTTTCTATTTATATTAGAGTTTATTATCCTTCCTAGAGTTAAGATTTCACTGCTTGATAAATTAAGCATTTGTGTGTGTAAATTTTCAGGCTCAGAATATTTTTAAAAAATCGGTACTATATTTCTTTTTTTTTTTCGGTACTATATTTCTAAAAGCTATTCCTGTAATAGTGATTAAGTTATTATAATGCAAATAAACATGTCTGCCTGTTTGCAGGTTTTTCTATTGTGATAATGTCAATCTGGCCATACCTTCAAAAGGTTTGTACATTTCAGTCTGTTGTTTAAAGTAATAGTGGATGTAACTCTAGTGTTGTTAAGCATTTTCTAGAGATTGTCTTTAGTATTCTGTAGTTTGCTCTGCCTCAGAATAGCTTAAAATAGTAGTTCCTCAAAGGAGGCATAAGTTGGTCATATGCTTTATTGTACAAACAAAAGCAGTTAAAGCAGAAAGGGTGCTGTGCCAATAGACTCATGCCTGGGGAGTGGCAGACAGAGTGAGGGTGTGCTTACCTTCATACTCAGGCATGTTCACCTCTGTCCCTGCCTCCCTCGTGAAAGCAGCGCAAGCACACAAAGGGAATTCTCAAAATGTGCAGATGCCATTTTTGAGGAATACTGTCATGATTTTCCTGTAGAATTAATTTGAGTTTTCAGGAAAACTTTGTGAAAAGGATAGGCAATATGGCTGTATCTTGATAGTCCTATGAGATTGGTTTTCAGGTCCCCTCAAAGTGTACCAGAATGTTTGTATGTGCAAGTCTGCTACATAAAGTGATATATTTGCTTATAATATGAACACATTCTCCCGCATGCTGTAATCATCTCTAGATTACATATGATGCCTAGGACAATGCCAGCATTATGTAGTTGTTAAACTGCTTAGTCCTAGAACAGTGACGAGAAAAGAAGGGTCTGTGTTCAGTTCATTTTTGTCCTTCATGTGTGAAGGTCAGGGCTTGTACTGTCCTCTCCTTTGTGCCAGCTTTTGTCTGATTACTTAGTCTTAAAACCTCTGTATCTCTAGCAGCTCACCCCTTGCTTACTGATTTTCCAGAGATCCATGTGTGCTAAGCTTTGGTCTGTAGCAGTTAAGTAGACAGCAATGTGTTAGACATACCTTCTTCAGTAACCCAGGCTCTGCAGGGTTGCACACAGTCACTTTTCCTAGCTTCTTTCTAGCTCTTTTCCTCACCTTCCTTCCTGTATTTCCTACCCCCTCCCTCCCTTCTACCTTTACTCACCTTCACCCTTCAGGCCTCATCTCTCAGATCCTCTGGAAAGCTTTCACTGACTGTCATCACCCAGTCTGGAGCAGGTTTTCTGTATATGGGTGTCCTCCTTATCTTTGGGCTCTGCATCCAAAATTCAAGTAAATGTGGTTTGGAAATATTTTCTTAAATCACTTGTACTATTTTCCTTATTATTACTCCATAAATTATACTGTGTGACAGCTATCTTTACAGAATTTACATTGTACTAGGTATTATAAGTGATCAGAGAATACTTACACCTATAGAGGGTATACGTAGTTGGTATGCAAATGTTCTATAAGAAAGGCTTGTGTGTGCACAAATTCTGGTGTCCTTGGGAATCTTGGAGTCAGTTCTGAGAACATCCAGGGATGACTCCATTTCATCTTTGTATCTTTAGTACTTACCACTCTAATGTATGATGTCAAATGAACAGTGATAAACTCCTCCATGATTATTAGTATGTTCCATGAGTTCTCCACAGAAATACTAATCCAGAAGGGTTCTGGTTAGGAATGCAGGTGGTTCAGTCACTGTGGAATATAGCCTGGATATTTGTTACAAAGCTAAATATAGTTTTACTGACTGATCTAGTAGCTATGTTCCCAGATACGTAGTTACCCAAACTTATATTCATACAAAAGTTTGTCTTGGAATGTTTGTTGTTATGTGATGATTCTTAAAGCATTTACTTTTCTCTACAGATTGATCAAACAGCCAATGCAAGTTTTTTAGGCTGGGTTATTGCTTCATTTAGTCTTGGCCAAATGGTAGCTTCACCTCTATTTGGTTTATGGTCTAATTATAGGCCAAGAAAAGAACCTCTTATCATCTCCATCTTTATTTCGGTGGTAGCCAACTGCCTATATGCATATGTCCACGTGCCAGCTGCTCATAATAAATACTACATGTTGATTGCTCGTGGATTGGTGGGATTTGGAGCAGGTAATTGTGTGTGTGTGTGTGTGTACACACGCGCATGCGCGTGCACACGTGTATTTGTGTGTAAGATCCATGTCTCCCCTGTGTCATTCCCGTTCAGTCTCGTGTGTATGTGTGTGTGTGTGTGTGTGTGTATTTGTGTGTGAGATCCATGTCTCCCCTTTGTCCCTGTGTCATTCCCATTCAGTCTCGTGTGTGTGTGTGCGCGTGTGTGTGTGTGTGTGTGTGTGTGTATTTGTGTGTGAGACCCATGTCTCCCCTGTGTCATTCCCGTTCAGTGAGATCCATGTCTCCCCTGTGTCATTCCCATTCAGTCTCGTGTGTGTGTGTGTGTGCGTGCACGTTTCACATTCTTCCTACTGTTCATAGCCATGTGTCCCCTGTGTCATCTCCGTTGTCTCACATCCCACACATCTTAGGAAGAGGCAGGTGCCTTTCTTTCATTTGCCTTTGCTCATGATCTTCCTAGTACCTACAGGTCCTCTCTTTTATTTCCATCGGATTTCACCGTCAAGATACACACTGAGTGCTTTATCGATGTGAGTCCTCTGGAGCTTCTTGCCCCTGAATGCCCCTTCTATGACCTGTTTCTGGCCTTTGCTTGCCCTGCTGTACTGGTTCCATCTTCTCTCATCAATTTTAGTACGCTTTTTGCATTAGAAGCATTTTCAAATATTCTGTGGTTCCTAGCAGAGTCTCTACTATAAAATGTGTTTAATAATTTTTTAAAAACCTTTTGTTTTTGTTGTGTATATTTATGAGCCTATGTGGAGACTTGTGATAGTAGTACCCTCAGAGGTCAAAAGACAGCACTGAATCCCCTGGAGCTGGAGTTATAGGTGCTTCTGAGTTGTCTGATGTGGGTGCTGGAAACTGAACCCAGGTCTGCTATAAGAGCAGTATGAATGCTTAACCACTGAGCTGTCTCCAGTTACATTCCTAGTGGACTTTTTGTTTCTGTATTACATGTCTGTGCATCCGTTTGTGACACATTTCCTTATAGCATAGAACTCTGCTGTTACTGACAGCTGTCTATTATTTGATGAGAAAATCTTGGTATAATAGTGCCATTTTCACATTATCTAAAACTGTGTTTTTACTAATGGGGTGGGCTTGTTTTATTTTTATTTTTGTTTTGTTGGTGTTGGTTGGTTTTGAGATAGAGTCTTACTATATACCTTAGGCTGGCTTAGAACTCACTATGTAGCCTAGGCTGGCCTCTGTCTACCAGTTGTTGGGATTATAGATGTGTACCATCCATCCTAGCTGCACTGTTTCTGTATGAGTGAAAATACTTTGTTCCCTTAGTTATGTGTTTGTACAATAAAAATCTTACACACTTTGTAAGATGGCATAGAGGAAGACATGACCATGGTACTCATCAGTATTTCTTGCTCTGTGTAAAGCCAGGTGAGGTGACCATTAAGGTGAAGGGTGATTTCTTTACTCTGTTACTGTCTCTTTAGGAAACGTAGCTGTTGTTCGAGCATACATTGCTGGCGCTACTTCCCTTCAGGAGAGAACAAGTGCCATGGCTAATACGAGCACATGCCAAGCCTTGGGCTTTATTCTGGGTCCAGGTAGGTGGTCTTTACTTGATTTCTTAAATTTGAATTGGGAAAACCTTTGAGGTGGAAGCTGTGTGGCCAAAGGGAAAAGGAGAAAAACTTTAGAAAAGAGGGAGGGAGCCAGGAAAGTAAGAGCAAAGTACACTACAGTGATCTATATGCATAAAAATACTACAGTGAAACACATTTCCTATGTTAGCTAAAGTCATCACAATAAAAATAAAGCAGTAATCCCCCAAACCGTGCGTGTGTGTAATACTGAAGACTGAACCCAAGGCTTCATGCATGATAGACAGCACTCCACCACTAAGCTGTAGCCTTATAAGGGAGGGACATTTAAAAAATTTTTTTGGTTTTCCGAGACGGTTTCTCTGTAGCTTTGGAGCCTGTCCTGGAACTTGCTCTGTAAACCAGGCTGGCCTCGAACTCACAGAAACCCGCCTGCCTTTGCCTCCTGAGTGCTGGGATTAAAGATGTGCACCACCACCGCCCAGCTGACATTAATGCACTACTATCAATAGACTATTTTGCCTTGACACCAGAGCTCTTAATTAAATGCTGCTTGCCTCATTTTATAGTTGAGGATCCCATGGTACAGAGTCTGTCCAGTGTCTCCAAAGCCAGTGGGAAGTCCAGGGTTCAGAGCAGATATTTTCCCCGGTGCTTTGTACCCAGTACTGTTGTAAGGGCGGCATCTGCCTTTTTCCTCAGCTAAAGTTAGATCTCAGTTACTGACAGGGCCCAAGGAAAATCATATCAACCGGGAGTAAAGACCAGAACTGTTCCATCCAAGTTTTACTACAGATTTAATGTTAAGTGATACTAAGGAGGTATAATTTAAGTACTACATATATAATAATATTAAAAATATTTGACTTGAAACTTTTGTGTTTCTTTCTTGTAAGGAAGTTGATTAAATTTTTAACTACTTGAGCCAACAAGATTGTTTAATGGGGCTGGGCGTTGGTGGCGCACGCCTTTAATCCCAGCACTCGGGAGGCAGAGGCAGGCAGATCTCTGTGAATTCGAGGCCAGCCTGGTCTACAGAGCGAGTTCCAGGACAGCCTCCAAAGCCACAGAGAAACCCTGTCTCGAAAAACCAAAAAAAAAAAAAAAAAAAAAAAAAGATTGTTTAATGGGTATAACACAAATTAATAAAAGACTCAGAGACTAATATTGGGGTTCAAACTTCAATCTGAATATCAGAACAGCAAAGCAGCCAGCCATTAGCTCTCACCTCTAGCTCAGTCTGAAGAGGAGGATCCTGTCTCCTCATGAGCTCTTCTTCACCAAGCCTCAGACTGTAACCTCCTCCTCAGTGTGGTTGGAGAATGAATGCCTCAATTGAGACCTTGCTTCTGTCTTATATACTTCCCTAGTGTTGGGATTAAAGATGTGAGCTGTAATTCTCTTTTAGACTGATTCACTCTTGTGTAGATCTGGGTGGCCTTGGACTCACAGAGATCCGTCTGTCTCTTAATCCTGAGACCTAGGATTAAAGGTGTGTACCACCACCTCCTAGCTTCTGACTGCTGGGATTAAAGGTGTATATCACCACTGCCTGACATTTGTAGCTTGAGGCTGACTTTGCTTTTCTGAATCCTCAGTCAAGCTTTAATAAATCATAAATAATATATCACTACAAATGGGTCTTTCCCTTTGTGCTGGCTGCCAAACTTGGTAGACTGAGTTTGATCTCTGGAGAACACATTGTGAAAGGAGAGATTAAAAGTTGTTCTCTGACCTTCACAGGTACATCCTGGCAGGTGCAAGCTCTCCTACCCCCCTCCACTCACATAAATCATTGTAATTACTAGAATTCATATTTATTTATTGAATAAATTATATAGCTTAACTTTCATATAGAGTAGTTTTCTTTTTTTTTCTTTTTTGGAAAAATAGATACTGGTGTTGAGAATGTACCTCAGAGGTAGGGTAGATACTTAGCAGGCCTCAGGCCCCAGTCCCTAGCACCCCTCTCCTGACAAAAATGAAGACACCAAATGGGTGGTAAATATGATAAGAGCATATTATAGATCTATGAAAATGTTATAATAAATCTTTTTTATTATTATGTAAAATTAGTATATGCTAATAAAATGATTAAGAGGAAATGATGCTGAGTCGATTGATGAAATTATATAATCTTTGTGAATGTACACATCTATGTCTCACCTTTTTAATAGTCTCTCTAAAGAGCCGCCTTGGATGTTTTCCTATTTATTCCATTCTGCATGAAAATGTAATACCGTATGTCTATGATATATACTTATGTTTGTGTATATATACACATGTATATTTGTGATTTATACAAGAATAAATTGTCTCCACCAACCAAGAGCTAGCTTTCACACTTCAATTGAGATTCCTTAATACACATGGTGGCTTCATATGGACCCTAACAGTTCTGTGGTAAGCACTTTTACAGTTTTTAGCTTATTCTTCTCCCATTGAAACTTACTTATACACATATCACTGTTAGTTTTTCAGACATGTCTTGCACTCATTGGAGAAAAGGGAGTAACGTGGGACACCATTAAGCTGCAGATCAACATGTACACAGCACCAGTTTTACTTAGTGCCTTCCTGGGAATTGTAAACATTATTCTGATCCTCTTTATATTAAGGTAACTACGTAGAAGCTATGTTTATACTATGTTTATAAATTGTCTAAAAGTTAACAAGATTTGTTATTATTGAAGGATAATTATCCCTATGAAGTATTTTTGTATTTGTAGCATTGACTGTTGGGTCTCATACATGCTAAGAAAGCACCTTACCATTACTCTGTATCTCCCAAGCCCCTGTCTCCTTTTATAAAGGTTTATTTTGATGTGTTTTAAAGTGCTTTACTTGTATGTATGTGGGCCACATGCATGCAGTGCCCTCAGGAACCAGAAGGGAGAATTGGGTTCCCTGGAACTGGAGTTACACACATTTGGGTGCCAGGAAGCAAACCTGGGTCCTCAGCAAGGCCAGCAAGTGCTCTAAGCTGCTGATGGCCCTTGCCAGCCCTTTTTAATTTTTACTTTTTATTTTGATGCAGGGTCCTGTTAACTTGGCTAGGTGCTCTGAGTATCAGGCAGCCTCTGGGTAGCTGAGATTGTAGACCTGAGCTGTGAGGCTGGCCCTGTGAAGTCTGTATGTTTTGCTGTCCATATTGGGTTTGTAGCTTTTGGTCAGCTAAGGCATGTTTTACTGGTAACTGCAGTAATAAGACAGACGAGGAATGAATACAGATGAGGAAGATCTATACTTCATTTACTAACTACAACATTCTAAGTATAGAAGTGGCATTTTGCCTGGTGTTGGTGTTGTACACCTTTAATTCCAGCACTCAAGAAGCAGAGGCAGGCAGATCTTTGTGAGTTTGAGGACAGCTTGATCTACAGAGTGAGTTCCAGGACAGCCAGTGATACACAGAGAAACCCTGTCTTGAAAAACCGAAAAAAAAATGGTATTTCATTTTCTAAAACTAGTATTATTACTTTGTATTTTTGTTTTTATTTCAGCTTTTAGAAAAAGTCTTACTATGTAGCCAAGGCTGCCTGAGAACTCAGGATTCTCTTGCCTTATCCTCTGAAGTGCTGGGAATGAGTGTGCCACCAAGCCTAATATTATTATATTATATTTTTTAGAGTGCTTCATCCAATTTTCCAAAGCCACTTAGAATTTTTAAAACATTGAAAATCTCAAATACATACTAAGGTAAACCATAGATGCCTCTAGATAAAATTTACAAGTTTTGTATGCTATGTAGTCTTCCTGTTCAGGAGAGGGAGGTGGGAGGATTACCTGACCCCAGCTGGACAACATGCTGGACTTTGCTCACCAAAACTCACACTGGAGATCCAGCACAAGGCTTGGGCCTTGCTTGTCCAGCATGTATGAACCCTACACTTCTTGTCTAGTACTGGAAAAAAGACATTTTTTAGTTTAATGGTTATATTTATTAGTAATTAGTAATACTCAGGAAGCCAATAAAAGAAATTGTGTCTGCCTGTGGAAAAGATAGGGTGCAAATAATAAGAAAACAGGTTCTGAATTAATATCTTGTTGATGTTTGTGCTTTTCTTTTTAAGAGAGCATCGTGTAGATGACTCAGGACGGCAGTGTAAGAGTGTGAATTTTCAAGAAGGTACTGTTACCCTGTGTAACACCATCTAAATTCTCATTCTGTTTCCTTGGTATGTACGTTGCTTTTGCCTCTAAGCACAATATGGTAGATGACTGTGGAGTATCTTCAAAGGTTAGAGGAATCTATGTTAATAAAAGAGCCCATACCTATCAGTTATATATTGTTTATTATTGGCAAGGCTAAAAGACATTTCTATAGATCAGTTTTCTTTTTCAAAGAGCCAATGTCCTAAAATCCTTGTGCTCTTTGCCATGCTTCTGATAACCCTGGTACAGGAAGCCCTTTCAAGCAGGTTTTGTTGTTGTTTTCTGACAGTGTGTAGCTCAGGCTTACCTTGAAAATAACATGCTTGGCAAGGCTGGCCTAGAACTTGAGATTCTCCTGGCCTAGAACTTGAGATCCTCCTGCCTCAGCCTTGTAAGTGCTGGGACTACGGTTGTACAACATATACATACACTTGGCTTCCAGAAGTTCCTAGTACCTTTATCAAGATAGTAGGCATTCTGTTATTTTATAAATGTATATTTTCGTCTTTTAAGTTATTTTGTGGGTGTGTGGTGCATGCATGAGTGCGTATGTGTATGGGCATGCATGCCCATGTGGTTGGACATAGAGATCAGGGATCTACATCAGATGATTTCCTTATTTGTTCTCCACTTACTTTCGGAGACAGTCTCACTGGCCTGGAGCTTGCCATTTTGAATAGAATGGCTGGCTAGTGAGCCCCAAGAGTCCATCTGTCTGTTCCCCTCAGACCTTCATGTTTGTACAGCGGACACTTTACCCATCTCACAGCCCAGTCCTTTCTATCTTATTTATTTATTTATTAAAAACTTATTTATAAGTTCCTGGTAAGTAGGAATACTTTACTTAATAAATTGTTATTTGGTTACTGATTGTGGCCTTCAGTCCTATGAAAGAATGAAAGTTGGTACTTGCTCAGTGATTTTATAAAACTATACAAAAACAAAGTAATTTTACTGAATACTTTCATATAAAATCATTTTGTATTTCAATAAATATCTTGATAAAATGCATTTGGTAAACACATGATTTTTTTAATATTTAAAGGTGGTCAGGTTTAAAGCAGTTTTCTTTCAGTGGGATTGTAATTTCTAATTACATGAAATGTGGAGGGGGTGGGGTATAGTAATGGCTAGGAGTTAAAATCACTTAATGCATTTGCAGAGGACCTAGGTTCAGTTCCCAGCACCCACATGGTGGCTCAAAACATTCTGTAACTCCAGTTTCAGGGGATCTGAAGCCCTCTTCTGACTTCTGCAACCACCAAACATATACATATATGCAGGCAAGACACTAATACATATAAAAATCAACCAACCAATTTAATTTAAAATTGAATCAATAAGGCTTTTCTTAAAATTCTTGTGTGTGGGTGCTGTAGAGATGGCTTAGCGGTTAAGAGCACTGGCTGCTCTTCCAGAGGACCCGGGTTCAAATCCCAGCACCCACATGGCGGCTCACAACCGTCTATAATGAGATCTGATGCCCTCGTCTGGCCTGCAGACATAACACTGCATATATCATAAATAAATAAACATTTAAAAAAGTCGTGTGTGTGTGTGTGTGTGTGTGTGTGTGTGTGTGTGTGTGTGTGTGTGTGTGCTTTTTCAAGACAGGGTTCTCTTTGTAGTCCTGGCTGTACTGGAACTCATTCTGTAGAACATGTCAGCCTTGAACTCACAGAAATCCACCTGAGTGCTGGTATTAAGTGCCTAGGCCCTAAAATTATTGTAATTAGGACATTTAGTCAATTTCCTCAGTTTGGGATACATTTCTGAGATTCCTTACAGCTGTATCTTAACTGGATATAGCATGCAGGAGACAACTATGTACGTAGGAAACTTCAGTCTGACAGCACAGCATTGGTACTTAATTCAAAGAAGTCAAGACAGGCCCTGGGTATTAACTAAGAATTAGAAAGGTGTACCCAAATAGTACAGGGTGAGAAGAGCTAGGGCCTGCTTCTGAGAAGGATCTGGATGAAGGTGACCAGTGCTCTTAGTGTGACTGGAAAGAAAAGTCAGAGGCCACTCCCTATAATACTACAGACGTTTCTAAATCTCCTTTCCCCTGAGGTGAAGGGCAGACACCATTATAAAACCATACACAAACTTTCTCTGTTAGGGAATGCCACACCATGCTTCTCCTTTGCTGCCCCTCCCCCCAGCATAATGTTCATTCTCATTGTTATTACACTGTTCACACTGAGTAATAACGTAAGGAATGGGTTTGAGCAGATATACAGCTGTGTATATACTCTGAAGTTATGTCTGTACTTTGCCCTCTAAAGGCACTGCCACACAAAGATACAAAGATACACTCACTTCATACAGTGTTAAAATTAAAAAGTCAGTGAAATGAACCAAAGAACTGGGAACTGACTTAATAAACTATTGATAGAACTTAATGGAACCATTGTAAGATGAAGATTTAGGTAAGGTAGAAAGTCTGTACCTGGAATTGAAAGCAAACATATTTTTTAAGAAGTCTATAAAACACTCTTTTGGTTTGGGAGACACCAATGTAAATTACCCTGAGTAGTATCTGCAGACAAGGGAACTCAAGCATACTTCTTGAGAGAGCGGGTACTCTAACTACCATTTGAAGATGTATTACTATCTGAATCTTGATGTTTCTTTCCTTCCCTCCCTTCCCAACCTCTTCCTTTTTTTGTTACTTTTATTTTCTCTTCCCCACACCTCTTGTCCCAGGCTGGCAGCAGACTTGCTGTGATTATCCAGCCTCAGGCTCCCAAGAGCTAAGGTGTGAACCATACACCCAGCTAATAATTTCCTATTACTTTATCATCATATGAAAAATTACACAAATAGGTAATATTATTTTTCTCCCATTTATAGAAAATACAGATGAAGTTCAGATTCCTGAAGGAAGTATTGATCAAGTTGCTGTTGTGACTACCAATATTCTGTTTTTTGTGGTTTTGTTTATCTTTGCCCTTTTTGAAACGTAAGTTTTATTCTTTATTTAAATCCAATTACTTACTAATCCTTGTTTCTTAATGCAGTGTTAATTCTACATATAGATTTTGCTTTTAAAAACTCATGTAAGGCACATTTTTCTTAAATAAAATTTTTGGGTTTCTTTTTTCTTTTTTTTTTTTTTTTTAGGACAGGGTCTATGTAACCTGGTTGTCCTAGAACTCTATGAAGTCCAGGCTGGCCTTGAACTCACAGAGATCTGACTGTCTTCCCCTCCCAAGTGTTAGGTTAAATGGATATGCCACCACAACCAATTTAAATAGATTTTATATTATGACATAATTAACACTAAGTCTGGCAATATTAACTCTGTTTAATCCTTGATCAAAAATTATATAATTCACAACTGTGTAGGCTTCATTCATCCTTTTTAAAAAATCACATGACCCTTTCCAAAGATAAAAATATGCAAATGTAGCATTACACACACATATACATATACACACATGCACACATGCCCTACAAAAATCCACTTCATGTTTTTTCAAGGGAGGGGAAGAATGTATTAAACTCTCATAAGCTGTAATGTCATCATTTGACAACTTGTTTTAATTCCATACAACTCAAACATATTTGTGTCAATACATATCACTAGATGTGCTTGGTGTGTATATTTTCAAAATTATCCATCTACATGAAAATCTTAATTCATTTTAGGGAACATTTTTAATGCAAAATACACAGCACATAAAATTGACCACATTAACCTTTCCCCCCCAATATTGGAATCTTTCTGTCTCAACCTCCTATAATAATGCTTACAGACCTGTACAACTAGCCCCAGCATTTTAACTGTTTTTTTTTTTAGTTTTGGATTTATTTTTTAAAATGTGTTATGAGTGTTTTGTCTGCATGTAACATATGTGTACCACGTGTGTACCTGGTGCCAGTAGATGTCACAAGAGAGAACTGAGTGCTTGAAACTGGAATCACAGATGGTTATGAACCACCATGCAGTGCTGGGAATAAACCAGGGTCCTCTGCAAGAGCAGCAAGGACTCTTAATCTTGAGCCGCTTCTCCAGACTCTGTTTTTGAAAGGTGAATACAGCCGGGCGTTGGTGGCCCACGCCTTTAATCCCAGTTACTCCCATTCTTTCACCAGTCCCTGATGTCTGTACAAGGTACCTTACAGAAGTTGCATCATGCAGTGTTTTATGCATGTCTCATTTCACTGAGTGTGAGGGATAGGGTTCCTCCTACTGTGGTGTATCATGCAGTGTTTTGTGCATGTCTCATTTCACTGAGTGTGAGGGATAGGGTTCCTCCTACTGTGGTGTATCAGACTTCTCTAACTTCTTATGGCAGGTGGCAGCTACTTTTAGCTGCCCACTAATCTGCTGATGAGAGCTCCGTTGGCATCATGTAGCTGTGTTGAGTGACACTGCTGTGTAAGTGTCTGCTGGAGTTCAGTTCTTGGATCTGTACCTGTTAACTGTTTAGCCCTTGGAGAAAGCATGTATCTGTTTTCTATATCAGCTCACCTGATTTCAAAGTTTAAGACACTATTCTTTTTAATACAAAATTTAAACTTTAAATTGTTTTGTTGTCAGCCAACAGAAGATGGTAGAATATAGGGATAGAGTTGGCAAGGAAGGAGACAGCCATATAAAGGCAGAGTTATTCATAGGGAGGGGAAGAAACACACAAAGTAACTGATGGAAGGAAAAATCCACTAGGCTCTAATAAGTAGGCACTAATAACAGTGTGACATTGCTGGTAATACACACACTCCATAAAGGGCCGGGGGAAGACACGGTGGGATGTAGGAAGTGCACTTCCAGCAAAACTTAAATTTCTGATTTTGAAAATGATGTCAACATAAAGTTTGCTTGTGTAGGAGCTCTTTACAGTGGGCCCTCAGTAGAAGTGATGCCCCAAAGAAAGGCTAGTCATAGAGTCTCACCCTTAAAGCTCAAGGCTCCACCAAGAAGAGTGTAATCTTGAACAGTTGCTTGGAGGATAGGGCTGTAATTGATTTGTCTCCTGTTTGCAAACTTAAAATGTGACTGTGTTCCTTATATAAACTGAATTTAAAAAGGTTTGTATATTCTTGAAGATATTATTATAAATGCTTATATATTTCTTAGTAATGGCTTTCTCTTCTTAGAATCCTTACTCCATTAACAATGGACATGTATGCCTGGACCCAGGAGCAGGCTGTGCTCTATGACGGAATAATTCTTGCTGCTCTTGGAGTTGAGGCAGTTGTTGTTTTTATGGGGGTTAAATTACTTTCCAAAAAGTAAGTCATATGTTTTTAGTTTTATTTCAAATCTGTTTTTGAAAAAAGAAACATAAAGCAGTAGTAATATAAATGAATGTCCTAGTACATTTTCTCATTTGTTACAACTTTTTAGTTGTCAAGACAGAGTCTTATTATGTAGCCTTGGAACTCACTACGTAGACCTGGCTAGCCTAGAATTCATAGGTCAGTCTGTCTTTGCTTCTTGAGAACAGGGAGTAAAGGCACCACCATGCCTGACTGTATTACAGTTCTTGAAAGTTTGCAAGAAGATAAAAACTTAACTGAGAATGTATGATATTTTTATATTCTATAGCATCAGTTTGGTAAAGTAAAATGCCTGACCAAAAAAATAACTGTATACTAACTGGTGTTATATAGTGTTTTAATGTATATTACTAAAAGTGTATCTCATAAAACATTGTCTTATGAGATTGAATGATTAAGTTTGGAAAATTCTGGTTATTAAAGCCTCTACACTGATGGCTGAGACAAGAGGACCATGAGTGCCTGCATGCTACATATTAATAAGACCATGTCTCAAAGAACAAATTGAACTTACATAGATTTTGTGGGTGTGTTTTGTTTTTATGAGTCAGGGTCTCATGTACACTAGCTAACTTCCTGGCTATCCTACTTCCATCTCCAAGGCACTGGGGTTATTATAGGTTTATATATTTTAGAACATCTAATTAGGTCTCCATCTTATAAACACTATACCATCACCATGGCAAATATAATTATAGTAATTTCTCAAGTTATTTGACCACATAACTATTTGTGTGTGTGTGGTGTGGGGGTTGAATTTAGGGTCTCACATATGCTAGACAAATGCTTTACCACTATATTCCCAACTCCTAGATAACTTTTTTTTAAAAGAATAGTTTTATTAAAGTAACTGTAAGGAACCTTGTATGGGCGAGTATGGGAATGCATGCGAATTGAATTCTGTCACATGGTTTTACTTTTCTCTGTGGTGCTGGGATTGTACCAGGGTATCACACATAGTAGGCAAGCACTCTATCACTGAGCTGTATATCTCAGCCTGCCATATAGGTTAACACAGGTTATTAGCTGATGAACAGCTTTAATGGTTGAATATTGGTTGAAAATGAGCATAGGCATGTATAGGCACGGCTATTCTTCACACTGGTTCTAGGTGTCTTTGCCCTAATAGTTACTGACAAGCTCTACTTTATGTAGGAAAAGATAAATACATTCATATTCATTATCTAAAGTCCAGCCCCCTAATCTGAAATCAACGGTTTATTGGAAAAGCCTTTTTTTTTTTTTGAGAAAGGGTCTCTCTATATAGCCCAGGCTGGCCTTGAACTTGCTCCTCTGGTTCCTGCCCTATACCTAGGTGCTGAGGCTACAGGTGTACACTGCCATGCCTAGTACTGGGTGCTTTCAGTGGGGGATTCTATTTAATATTGCATTAATTGATAAATATAATGAATTGTATAGCAAGTTTAATTAATCTTTTTAGTTATGGTAACAGAACTGTGAATTCACATTGCATTTCAAAATCAGAGTTTCTGTTCAACAGGATTGATGAGCGTGCCATTCTCCTGGGAGGACTCGTGGTTGTATGGGTTGGCTTCTTTATCTTGTTACCCTGGGGAAATCAGTTTCCCAAAGTACAGTGGGAAGGTATGGTGATTTTAATTCTGTAGCACCAGCCCCTGCCATTCTTTAGAAGTAGCAAGTGATGCCTTGTCTTAACTTTTATTTTACAGATTTACACAACAGCTCAATCCCTAATACTACATTTGGAGAAATTATTATTGATCTTTGGAATTCTCCAAGAGAAGATTACAGTGAACAGCCAACCGGGTGTCCAATTGAACAAGCCTGGTGCCTGTACACCCCAGTGATCCATCTGGCCCAGTTCCTAACAGCTGCTGTGCTAGTGGGAATCGGCTATCCAGCCTGCAATGTCATGTCCTATACATTATATTCAAAAGTTTTAGGACCCAAACCTCAGGTAACAACCCTGCATCTCAGCACTCGCATATTTCCTTTTCTGTAGTTCTGTTCTTACACAAGCTGCTTTAGCAAACTTTAAAACTCTGATTTCACATTTAAATGAAAAGAGAACAAAAGGCTAATTTTGGGGAGAGGTGCACTTCTTGGACAGGCTCTGAGCTGGAGCTCACTTGTATGCCTGCAGGCCTGAGCTTTAGGTTCTACCTACCTCTGCTTTCATCACTCAAAAACTTTGTGATATGTTTGGTAAGATTTATCTGGTGGAATATAATCTTGCTAAGCCAGAATTCAGATGTCTTAAATTCCGTAATTATGAGCTCAAAATACTTTTCATTGAAAAAAGTCTCTGAACTTTAAAATTCTAACACTCATTCTTAAAGTAGACAGGAGAAAACCAAAATTGGCAGCCAAATTGGATTTAGGCTGTTACAAAAAGATGGAAAACACAACAGTCTCAAACAGTTTTGGCTGCTATAATCTATTTCCTTTCTGTGTCATGCTGGAGATTAAAACCAGGGCCTTGAGCTACTATGGCTGAGCTACACTGAAACCTATCAGTATGTATTTTAAGGTTTGTTTTTTCTCCAAGATGTCTTTCTCTGTAGTTTTGGAGTCTGTCCTGGAACTCACTCTGTAGACCAGGCTGGCCTGGAAGTTGTAGAGATCTGCCTACCTCTGCCTCCCAAGTGCTAGGATTAAGTTTGTGCCCACCACTGCCTGGTTGTATTTTAAGTTTTAACTGTTTTGCAATGCTAGGATTGGATGCTAGGCTTTGCACATGCTAGGCTTGTGCTCTAGTAAGAATGCCAGGGGTGAGCTGGGGATGGTTATACATAGCTGTAATCTCAGCATCCAGGAGGCTGAGGTAGGAGGATCACTGAAGGTTCAAGGCCAGCTTGGTTTACACAGTGTGGTCCAGGACAGCCATGCTATATAGTGAGACTCAGTCCCAAATAACACAAAAACACACAGGGAACTCCTAGACTGGAAGTACAGTTCTTATCCTAGAATTCTTGACATCCTAGGTTTGATCTCTGGCATGCACATATACACATACAAAAATAATTTCTGTATTCATTATAAAAAATAAATGGGTACATGTACTTTAAGGAGTATATCATGGATTCTTTAGATTACTTTCAATGAGACACTATTTCATTTTATATATGTACCATCACTTACTTATAATCGGACTATTTATTTACTTATTTTCCATATGTTTCTAACTCTTGTTTTTAATGACAGTTATATAAATGGCACAAATTATCTCACTCTTCAAAAATTAAACTAAGGCTAGGTGGTAGCACACGCCTTTAATTCCAGCACTTGGGAGACAGAGGCAGGTGAATCTGAGTTCGAGGTCAGCCTGGTCTATCTACAAATTGAGTTCTAAAACACCTGGGGCTACACAGAGAAATCCTGTCTCAAAAAACCAACCAACCAACCAACCAAACAAACAAACAAGATTAAACTGAAATGGCTGTGGTGGCACATGACTGTAATCTCAGCTTTTCTGAGATAGGAGGAAGATCTTGAATTTGAGGCCAGCCAAGGCTACTTGGTGATTCTTAGGCAGACCTAGACTACACTGTAAGATCATCTTTAAAAAGCAAACTAAGGACATGGATACATGGCTCAGCAGTCATGAGTGCTTACTGCTTTTCCAGAGGACTGAAGCTCAGGTCCTAGCACCCAGATCAGGAGGTCTACATGACCTGACTCCAGCTACAAGGGACTAGCACACGTGCACCCCTCCCCCGACACTGAGACAGAATGGTAAGGCATGGTGATTCATGCCTTTCATACCAGCACTCTTGGCCCAGAACTCAGTATATAGGTAGGCTAGGCTGGCTGGCTGCCTGGGGAACCCAAGGGCTCTGCCTGTCTCTTACTTCCCAATTCTGGGATTTCAAGCACATGCTACCATGCCCCATTTCCTTTTGTTGCTCTATTTTTATTGAGAATTTTACATACTGTGTTTTGATCATATTTACCCAGTCTCTCCCTCCAGACTCATCCCCACATGCTTTTTAATTAAGTTCCAGGGATTGAAAGCAGGTATTTGAACTTACAAGTCAAACACTACCCAACTATTGAGCCATCTCTCCAGCTCATATCAGTTTTGTTGTTTTGTTTTTTGATTCTTGAAACAGTTTCTGTGTAGCTCTAGCTGACCTGAAACACTCTCAGATCAGTTTTTTGTTGTTTGTTTTTTGAGATAGGGTTTCTTTGTGTAACAGCCCTGGCTGTCCTGAAATTCACTTTGTAGACAAGGCTGGCCTTGAACTCAGAGATCCAATTGCCTCTGCCTCCCAAGTGCTAGGACTAAAGGTGTGCGCTACCACTGCCTGATTTACTGTTTTTATTTGGAATAACTAAACCTGAATTAATCTGTTGTTCTCTACCTTACCCCCATACAGGGTATGTACATGGGCTGGTTGACTGCTTCTGGAAGTGCAGCACGGATTCTTGGGCCTGTGTTCATCAGCCATGTGTACACTTACTTGGGCCCACGATGGGCATTCAGCCTTGTGTGTGGAATAGTGGTGCTCACCATTTCACTCATGGGAGCTGTTTACAGAAGACTTATTGCCTTTTCTGTCAGATGTGGGAGGATCCGGGAATAAACTAGCAGTCTCTGCTGGATGCTTGCTGCCAACCACCTCCAACTCAGCCTTGAGTAGCAAAAGCATGTGCTGAGTAACTAACTATGAATGGTAAGGTGTGCAAATCTCCTTATCAAAAGTGAATTATCTTTACTGTATTTAACAGGAGTTCCATGAACTTAACAGTGGATGGATAACGTCTGTAGGTGTGAAACTGCACTCAGTATAAACTGTGGAGCTCTCCCTAAAACAATGGGACTATGCATTGGAACTGGAGGAAAGTTCTGTTTTAATCAGCCAGAGCAGAAGGAAACATTTTTTAAACAAGTATTTTAACCAAAGTTTTTCTTTTTTTTATATGAAAATGCACTATTATTCAGTTTCCTAATGAAATAAAACTGAGCCTTAAATTCTTTTAGCTTGCCCACCACCAGACTAGGCTTAAGTTTTTCTTTCCTGCTCAGGGCAAACCCATTATCTCTCCCTCAGTGTAATTTGCACATTGCACCTTTGTCTATTTTAACTTAGCATCTCATTTCTAAATTAACCTGTGAGCAAGAATAATGCTAATATCTGAGGAGTAAAGAGGACTAAGGATTTTACTACCTTTAGAAGGGTTACCTTTTCAAGTGCTAGTAAATTCACATTAGAAACATAAGACAAATGTGTTCTTTAATGGCATTAATAGCAAGCAAATGGATTCTTAAAATTATCACTATTTTCTCAGGGTATTGGTGGCTCATACCTTTTAATCCCAGCACTTGGGAGGCAGAGGCAGGCAGAACTTTGTGAGTTCAAGGCCAGTCTGGTCTATAGAACAAGTTCCAGGATAGGCTCCAAAGCAATACAGAGAAACCCTGTCTTTAAAAAAAAATCACTATCTTCCAAGTCCTTTAAATTCCAATGCAAACTTTGACCTTTTACTGCCCTTTCTCTGTAGTGACAGAGAGGAACTGCTGTTTCCAACCTGTCTGCAGAGCTGCAGACCCATTCATAGAAGCAGGACTACAGCTGGACTTTGAATACTGTGACATTCCTGTCTAGTCAGGGCATGATTTGAGGTAGAATGCATAGTTTTTAGTTCTATGTGAATACAACACTGATATGTGTACAGGAATCACTGAAAAACACGCAGAAGTGTTTTCCCATGCTGTGAACATGGTTTCAACACATCATACTCTCAACTCTACAAAATGCTGCCATCAGCACTAAATGATGGCAGCATTTTGCTTCAGTCAGTTTCTGTCAGGTTCTGGACTTTATCTTACCTGCTGTTCTACACTTCACATTTAGTCTTCTGAGTCACTTCTGACCTTAAACCCCCTCTTGTGTGCTATACAAAGACAAAAGTAATTAACTCCTGAAAATGAGAGTTCTCTCAAGTTCCTGGGTTACACACAGTAATTTCTCACAGCAATCTTAGGGCTGAAGATAAGATCCTGCTTCCCCGATACATTCTAATTAATGGAGGCATAGTTCTTGTTTAAGTGTCTTCTGAGGCTACCTCTTGACAGCTGCACTTTTCAGAATAGGAAAACTACCCACAAGTTACACTACCAGTTACTTAACTGTGAGGAACTATTTGCACTAGTGACTCAGATTTGCAGAAATATTTGGGAAAAAAACTCAAGTATACTGGATGAAGAAGCTTTTATATCAGTATACCATGTTCCCAGCAAGAACATAAGTTTTCCAGCCCTAGAATTGTAACACTACGATTCAGGGGAACTATAACCTAGCAAAAGTAACTGCACCTTCTTTTTTGTGAGGTATTTGTTTCTTGGGAGAGTAGATTAATACATACCTCGCCACCAAAGAAGTGAGGCAAGCGACACGTTTAGGAAAAGAGCTAAAGTTTCGAATGGAACAAAGTGAGGATAAACTGAGAAGCAGAGACTGTGAGGTATGCAAACTGTTACTAGTTATAGTAAAGAAGGTGTTCTTGAAAACCTAGCAAAGGGTTATTTCCTTATTTGAATGAACTGTCACTTCATAAAGTATTTCTAGCCATTATGCTTTTTTATAAAACAAGCTCTTCAAGCTCATTTCTTGTGTTAAAGTGAAATAAACTTGTGATTTTTAATTTAACGATGATAAACTATTTGTATCTGTTTAAGACTAACTTATTTTAAGAGACAATTCTGGCTACCATTTACTATTGAAGATTTATTTATAACTTTTTCTTACATTGTGAGTGTTCATGTCAAATAAAGCAAGACTGTAAGGATTTGTATCTGTCAACTTTCAGTATATATTAAGAAGCCCTGAGTCCCCTGGAGGTGAAAGGGACAAGATTTTCTGAGCAAATTGAGAGCATGGGGGGTAGAGAGGAGAGGGAGTAGGAGAAAGAGAAGGGAAGGGAAGAAGGGGGGGGAGAGGACATGAGGGAGCAGGGAGGTTGAGTCAGGGGAAGAATAGAGGAGAGCAAGAAAAGAGATACCATAACAGAGGGAGCCATTATAGGTTTAAAGAGAAATCTGGCACTAGGGAAATGTCCAGCGATCTACAAGGATGACACCAATAATCTAAGCAATAGTGGAGAGGTTACCTTAAATGCCCTTCGCTGGTAATGAGATTGACTACATTATATGCCATCCTAGAGCACTCATCCAGCAGCTAATGGAAGTAGAAGCAGATACCCACAGCTAAACACTGAACTGAACTCCTGGAATCCAGTTGTAGAGAGGGAGGGGTGATGAGCAAAGGGGTCAAGATCAGGCTGATGAAACCCACATAAACAGCTGAACTGAACAAGGGGAAGCTCATGGACCCCTAGACCAATAGTTGGGAAACCAGCATAAGACTGATCCAGACCCCCTGAACATGGATGTCAGTGAGGAGGCCTCGGCAATCTATGGGACCGCTGGTAGTGGATCAGTATTTATCCCTAGCATACGAATGGACTTTGGGAGCCCATTCCACAGAGGGATACTCTCTCAGTCTAGACACATGGGGAAGGGCCTAGGCCCTGCTCCAAAGGAAGTGACAGACTTTGAAGTTTCTCCATGGAAGGCCTCACCCTTCCTGGGGAGCAGAAAGGGGATGGGATAGTTAGTGGGGGGCAGAGGAGGAGGGAAGAGAGAGGGAACTGGGATTGACATGTAAAACAATCTCGTTTCTGATTTAAGCCAGGCATTGGTGGCACACAAATCCAGCACTCGGGAGGCAGAAGCAGGCGGATCTCTGTGAGTTCGAGGCCAGCCTGGTCTACCGAGTTAGCTCCAGGGCAGCCTCCAAACAATACAGAGAAACCCTGTCTTGGAAAAATAAAACAAAACACAAACAACAACAAAAAAGCAGCCACCCTTAATACATGCTTATTTCCACGTACTTATTGAAATTTGAGCAGTGACTGCTAGGCTTCTACTCCATCAGGAACCTCATACACTAATTAGCTGGTATAGATATTTATGGTTTGCTATGGGAAAAGTAATGAAAGATAAGGCCAGAAGGAGCTCAACCTGAAGAGTAGCACTAGGACATTCCCTAAGAAAATAAGGATTTGCTGGTACCTGGTCTAAGAATGACTAGAATGGGAAAAGGTGGAACAAATGCACTTTGGGCAGAAGGTAGGATTTGCAAACAACCTAGAGAAGACATTTTGGGAGGTTCCTCAGAACTCAAACCAGGTCCAAAGTGACTGGAGTACAGTGACAGGAAAGTTCTATTAGTTCATTTGATTCCTCCTGAAATTCAAGGTTCTAATTATAAAGAAAATACTAATAGTTTATCATGAATACATTTACAAATGACCATAGTAGAGCAAATCTCAATATAAAGTGAAATGATAAACCTCAGTAATGATATACAAAATTTAGCATACAAGACTAAAACTTTACGTTCTAATGTGGTCCAGAAGTTTAGAGTGCTTACTACTCTTATGGTGGACTTGGAACCAACATGGTGGCTCACAACTGCCTATAACTCAGACCCAGAGTATTTGTCCCCCTTCTGACCTCTCTGGGTGAAATAAAACTTCTTATAAAAGGTGCCTATAAAAGGCACAGTAAGAGCTGCTAACAAAGTTCTTCCCTCTTCACCTAGCAAAGCAGAGAGGCCTATGCAGGTTAATAGCTTCCCTCTACCCAGAGAAGCATTTTCTCTGAGGCCTGCCTAGCAGCCACAGTCTCTCTATCACCCTGAGCCCACTTTGGGTTCCGTGTCTGTCTGCCCAGTACCCTTTTCTCTCCTGGGGCAATGAAGGAACTCCCAGCAGAGGGAAGATGGGAGTGATAGAAGATACAAGACAGCCTGTGGGTTAAAGCCAGTCTCAGAAAATAAAATAGGGGGCTCCTCCTAAACAGCAAACAAAATTTAAGAATTTGTAGTAACCTATTTTAAAACAAGTATTTAATAAATAAAAAGTAAACTTACCAATGTGTTTATTTTATAAAATGTATTTATAGAAATATTTTATCAGACACAAGCGCTACAAAAATAAATACAAAATATACATGTTTACATATTGCTTATAAGTACATTATTTACATATTCAAAACTATAGCATGTTTTGTCCATGATTCCCAGTGTCTTACTAGTACAGAACAACAAAAACAAATATACCACACACAATTTAGTTCAATACAAACATGAGCAAAAAAAGTTTGAGCAATTAAGTACTTTGAGCGAAATCAGATGTCCTAGTTTATTTTATAACCACTGTATTTGATAATGAAAATTTTATTCTATTTTGTTTTCTTGCATATATTTTTTATGATAAAGACTAAAATTGTTTAATAGAAAGGCTTTCTGAAGTTATAGTAAATTAAAAAAAAAACCCTCACTTTATTTGAAAGCTAACCAAAGAAGTCATTTATTAAATAAAGACATCTGAAAGGACTTTAATTAATGAAAACTAGGAGTTGGATTAGAAAACATCACAAGGATGGAAGAGAGACACTGTAATTTCTGTTTGATGTATTCTGGCAATTTTTCATTTTCTCCATACCTAAATGAAACAAAACAAAACAGACTTCATTACTTGGACTTTAAGGGAATACTCAAAAGCACATTTCTCAGTAATCCTTTAATGACAAGTTATCTCAAGAATTCAATACACTTACTAGGATTTTAAAATCAAATGAAGTGCACTCAATTTGTTTTCTTCAAAAACACAACACTTGTTTTTGACAGGCTTGTATCTCAGTACAGCCAAATCATTTTTTATAAATATTTTTTGATCTGTGATTAGCTGAACACTCAGAGACAGCACTTATATTGTTAGGACTAGTAGTTTGCCTTCAAAAATGTCAGTGCTATGTGGTACAGTTCAGTTAGAAGGCTTGAAATACATTCACAAGGTTCAATACCTACCATAAAAAAAAACAAGTTTTTAAAAAGTCTTTCAAGCTGGGCAGTGGTGGTGCACACCTATAATCCTAATACTTGGGAGGCAGAAGCAGGCGGATCTCTGAGTTTCAAACCAGCCAAGTCTACAGAATGAGTTCCAGGACACCCAGGATTGTTTCAGAGAAACCCTGTCTCAAAAAACAAAAACAAAAAAACCAAAATCTTTCAAAAAATAGGACATAACTTTTATTTTAGAAAAATAACCACATTTATTTAGCTACTTTAGAGTTTTTTTGAGACAGGTCTCATATAATCCAGTTGGTCACTATGTAGCCACGCATGATCTCCACCTCCTGCTAAGGGACTGTGTGCCATCACATCCAGCCTGCGGTCACTGTTAGATGCCTTCCTCAATCACTTTCAGACAGGGTTTCTCACTGAGCCTCAAGCTCACCTAGCTGACTAGATTGGGTGGCCAGGGAGCTAACTAATGAGGCTCTAGCCCCCAGCTCCCCAGTGCCTGTGTGTCAGCGCACACTGCCCTGCCTTTTTCAGCAGGTGCTCTGATCAAGTCCTTCTGCTTGCAAAGCAAGTACTTAGGCAACTGACCCATCTCGCCAGCCCTCCATGTCTTTTTGTGTTTGTTTTTTGAGTTTGGATGTCTTTAGGTAGATCTGGCTGGCTTTGAACTCAAAAGAGAATCACCTGCCTCTGCCTCCCAAGTGCTGGAATTCACCATACATGGCCCGTGTTCTTTTAAGTAAAAAAGAAAAAATACGTATCAATTAACTTTCATAAGTCCATTCTGAAGAGTCATCCTAATTAGGACATTGAACAGGGTTATTCAATGAAATTAAAAGAAACCCTACCACTTGAGTTGATTATGTAAATGTAAATTTAATTGTGTAAATAAAAAATTGTCAAAATCCTAAGCTTATCAAGCCACTTATGTCCAAGTACAAAGAAAGCAAAATGAGAGTAAGCATTGACTCCCACCCAGTGCTTTAAGAACTTACCTAGTTGTCTGACCATCTGGTGACGTGTAACTGATGGAAGACACTCCTGCTTGGACAACTAGCTGTGACCCATCATTAAACTGAACCCACACAGCTCCGCTAGTTAGCTAGAAAAACAAGAAGCATAGAAAATGACTACACACAAGACACAATGAGGTTTGTTTGTTTGGCGGGGGTGAGGTGGAGGGTGATTTCTAGATAGGGTTTTTCGGTGTAGCTGTGGTTGTCCTGGAACTTGCTCTGTAGACCAGGCTGGCCTCCATAGAGATCCACCTGCCTCTGCCTCCCAAGTGCTGGAATTAAATGGTGAGCACCACTACTGCCCGGCACAACTTGCAGTTTTTAAGGGCTTACTTAAAAAGTGTTCTATACCGTTTTATTCATTCATTTAGTGTTTTGGTCCCCACCCCCCCACACACCACTTTTAGAGTCTCAGTATATAGCACTAGCTGGCCATGGACTCAGATATCTACCTGCCTCTGCCTTAAGAATTCTAGAATTAAAGGCACAAATCATACTGAATTATTTTATTTTCATGTCTATGAGTGTTTTTTCCTTCATCTTATATCTCTGTGCAACTTGTTCACAGAACCTGAAGAGGCCAGAAGAGGGCGTCAGAGCCCCTAGGACTGGAGTTACAGACAGCTGTGAGCTGCTATGGAGGAATAAAACTTGGGTCCTCTGGAAGAGCAGCTTCGTCATGGAGCCATCTCTCTAGCTCCACATTTCATTCCCCCCCCCCCCCTTTTTCTTTTTCTTTCAGGCTTTTCGAGACAGGGTTTTTCTGTATTGCTTTGGAGCCTGTCTTGGAACTCACTCTGTAGAGTAGGCTGGCCTCGAACTCACAGAGCTCTATGTGCCTCTGCCTCCAGAGTCCTGGGATTAAAGGCCACATTTTATTTTTAAGACAGGGTCTCACTTACTATACAGCCCAGACAGGTATTGATTTTACTCTTCTTCTACCTCCTAAATACAGAATTCTATGCATGTGCTAATATACCCAGACCCAATACAGCTTTCAAAACAGCTGTCTCAACTACAAATTTGGGTTTGTAATGATCTCAGCACTGGAAATATGCTTTTTCTTTTTCCTCTTCAGATCATTCCTCTAGTGGCCAAGGCATCATATTAAAATGACTCTCAAAAAATTTGGTTTCTCACAAATATCTACTAGGTTATTTAAGTAGTTTGTTTTTTTCAGATAGTATTTTTCCCAAGATAGGACTGAAGAAATGACAAAAGCTTCCCTGTGTTATCTCTTAGCTACTGAAATTTGTCTTTGTGCTACTACAAATGGAAATGCATGTGATACAGGTGAGAAACAACATGGCCATCTGACTCAAACAGTCCTGTATTTACTCCAGACTACAGTCACACACACACTGCAAGACTAAGCAAACCAATCTACCATAACAAACTGTAATCTTACTGTCTTTAACAGGGCAGCTAGCTAAGTTTTACCAGATTACTTTAGGACAAACTAGACAATGTATGTGAGAAACACAGGACACACAAGAAGTAGTACTCAACAAATGTCAACAGGCCCCATGAAATACCAGAGTGAATTTTTACTTAATTGTCAAGTAAAAATACATATGACATACTCCAAAATTTCTACACTTCAAATCTCCTGATAACACAATGTAAAGGTATATACACTGGTATAAAATTTTGTAAATTTTAATTCAACATTTTGTTTCTGCCATTTCAAATGTCCTAGACATCATCCTCTACTCTGCAAACCCTTATCATGACATCACTGACATTGTAGGAACCTGATGTCAACATCAGCAGCTTTCTGATATACCAATTTTTAAAAAGCAAAACGTTTAGGAATAAAACCAATGCAAAACTATACTAAGAAAGTTCCCAGGAAAGAGAACTTGGTAAAATAATTTGTATTATTGGGTAATAGTTTAATTAATGAAAAAAAAAAATCAAGAGGTCCACAGTGAGTAATTATCTTTTTTCAGAAATGTCTCACCTGTGTAGCCCAACCAACATTTTTCACAAAAACAGATTTCAAAAGCTGTGCTGATTTAGGAAGACTTGAAGAAGAGAAACTTGCTCCTGTGGCAGTGGCTGTGTGGCCAAGTCCTTCAGCTGTAGCAGTCTACAAACAGTAAGCGAGAGGAAGAGCTTCCTTAGTACATTCATAAGCAAGCTTTGGTGAAAGTGAGACTGCTTCATGATTTTAAGACAGAATTTTCTCAAAGCAACAATTCTAAAATTAAAAGCAACCACACATTCAAAATAAAAATAAAAAGGGAAGGCCAAATCATGACTTGTTTTCATTTTGGCAAATTGCTTTCCCGTTATTTTTCATAGCTGAAGTTAGAGAATACACACATGTGTGAACACATACACACTTGTGCATTTATTTATTTAATTACTGAACCATGAGCTGTGAAGCAGCTGATAGCGTGTGCAATGACTTTTGGCTTATTAAAGCAGACATACGGCAAAGTAGCTCAGTGAGGCCCGGGCAGTAGGTGATGTTTTATTTTTCTGGGTTGTGTGGGATCTAACCTATAGACACATATCCAGCATATATTCTACAACTGAGATGTACCCCCAACCCACACCTTCACTTTATCTAAGGGCACCAGGCACTCACCATGTAATACATATTTACTTACAGAAGGATTGTGTACTGGTGCCTGTGTTGGAAACGCCGCAGTATTCATGCTCAATCTGCTCGGTGATGCTTGCTCTCCCTTTGAGTAGCTTGGGTTCACAGGAGGTGGTGATAAGGCTTTAGGTGAATTAGTATTACCAGGTTTTCTGAAGAAAGAGAAATGTCTCGCTATAGTTCCCTGAAGCTTTTCAATATATAGAGAACTAAAAATTAGTCTGTGTGTATGTCTAACAAAGGGTCCCATTATGTAGACCAGGCTGGACTTGAACTCAGAGATCCACTTGTCTCTGCCACTTCGGTGCCTAAATTAAAGGTGTGTGCCACCACATCTGGCTAGTTAAGTTTTTAAATTTCATTTACTATGTATGTCTGTGTGACTGGTGTGGATATGTGGGCACATGTATGCCCCAGAGTGTGTCTGAAGGCCGATGCATGACCTTTGGAGTAAGTTCTCTCAGCAGTTTTATATCGGTTTCAGGGATCAAGCTTAGGTTGTTAAGCTTGCATGATAAGCACTTTTATCCAGTGAACCATCTCAATGGCTTCTGTAACTGTTTTGAGGTAGGTGGCCTCTACTTGGTAGGTGTCAGGATTATGGAGTGTATCACCATGGTGCAAAATTTTCAGTATCATTTACAATGAAATGACAAAATTGTATCTTAAACATTTTAGCCATAATTAGGGATGTTAAGCTTTTACCTTCCTACAATTATTGGGAAGAATGAAGAGCTCCTGCTTCTCGTTTCCTCTTCTGAGATTACAGATTCCAGTGCCAAGCAGACACGGTGACCCTGTTACAGAGAAGAATGCCTCCTGTCAACAGTTCATGCTTTACCATGTGACTGTTAACTGGATGAAAAACAGGTACTTACCTCATTAGCATGGTCCATATATATTTTCATTTTCTCTTTCAAACTCATAATTTCACTTTCATTTTTTAAAGTGTAAGATTCACCAGTTTTTTCAATCACGTGAATTAAATCTTCTGTTTTGTGTATTTTGGCTCCTGAAAATTAGCAGAAAACCATTCTTTTTTTTTTTTTTTTTTTTTTTTTTTGGGTTTTTCGAGACAGGGTTTCTCTGTATTGTTTTGGAGGCTATCCTTGAACTACCTCTGTAGACCAGGCTGGCCTCAAACTCACAGAGATCCACCTGTCTCTGCCTCCCGAGTGCTGGGATTAAAGGTGTGCGCCACCAATGCCCGGCTCAGAAAACCATTCTTTTATCAGTTATTTTACTATTCCTATATTTAATTCATTATTATACTAGTACATGGCTGTCAGAAAAGTTATTTACATCATTTATTGATCATTTGTAAAACAGCACTTCAAGTATTCAACAAATGTAAGGCATCATTTTCCCTTATCAACATGTGTCTGATCGGACTACACAAAGTTCATACAGAATAGCAGGGATAGCTATAATCATGTGCTGTGATTGGGAACCTTTTATGAAGAGACAGTTAAAGACAAATCAACTCCAGAGAATGCTCAGAGACTGTTTAACCTGTCCATTTGGGTTTCAAGTAAGATATGGAATTTGTTTTTCATGTAGTTTACGCTATGAACTGATGTAGAGCTAAGCAGAGAATAGGACTAGATCTCACATATTATACATAAAATGTGGGGTACACAGCCATAAAAAACTGGATCACATGTAGTATACTCACCATCATAAAACCAAACCTCGAAATCAGCACCAGGAGAATTCTCCATCAAAATACATTTAGCATATCTTGTAAAATAAGTGATTTTCGGAGTTTTAGACCTCACAAGCTGAATAAATCTGGAAGCATACTGATATTTCCGCCAGTATTTTTCTACAGAAGAAAAATATATCTAGTATTAAGGAAGAAAGAATCAACTAAACATACAGTTTTATCTGAAGTCTAATTCCTAGAAAGATTAGACAGCTTTCTTGTTGTTTTTGAAAGACACCTCAACCAAGATGTGTTATTTAGTAGTTATTTCTCCAAATCATAGCTTCTAGGGGCACAGTCAGTTACCAACAATTATAAATTATTTTTATATACTACTGCAGTGATTTTAAGTGTGAAAAACTAGATACTCCATGTTGAATTTTTTTTTTTTTTTTTTTGGTTTTTACGAGACAGGGTTTCTCTGTGTTGTTTTGGAGGCTGTTGGTCCAGCCGGGCCTCGAACTCACAGAGATCCGCCTGCCTCTGCCTCCCGAAATTTTTGATGATTCTAGATAGACCAATAACTAGACAAAAGTACATAGCTCTGATGTTCCTAATACTTAAGAGGTTTGTGGCAATATATATGAACAGCAGACAGTGGAGTAGTAAGATATGCCAGATCTTCCAGTACATGAATATGACCAGCAGCCAGACTGAAGTGAGGTAGTTACAACTTACCATAAAAATACATACAGAATCTATGTGTATATAAATTTATTTTCGCAATAAAACTCCTAAAAATGTACATACCTGGTAAATTGTCAAAGCTATATCTGCTGATGTTGTCAGTAGGCAAGGGTGGTTTATCAGCAAGAGGAAAGCCTCTTCCATCATTTGGGTAATAAACAGTGATCTGATTACAAAAACAAACAAATAAAACTTATAATTATATGCCATCAAATATTATCCTTTGTCACCAAAAAGTATACAAGGTTCTATGCTAAACATTAATTTAGGAAAATATTAAAATAGTTTCTAAAAGTAATAAAGTATTTTAACATAAAACTTTAATTTTATTACTAGTTTTAATAATAATTATTTTTCACTTTGCGAATTCCAAAGATACAGATTAAATACCATATTGTAAAAGGAACTCAATGTTGACTGTTTAGTCACACCTAAAATCGCAAATGAATAAAATCGGTACGCTACCATAGTCCCGTCGCTAGATATCTGAAGAACTTCCTTCACGTGTCCTTCAGATGTACATTCTCTTAGAAGCTCCACACATACTTCCTCTGAATCTAGGATGCTTACCTAGAGAAACAGAAAAATCAATAAATTGTTTTATAAGAACACTTCTGGCACATAATACTTAAGAGGGAAAAGTACCCAACCATAGCAGAAATAACAAAATCCAACTGCTGCTTCACTCTGGCAGTCTAGAACAGAGATTGTACTTGGGTACAGTTGTGAGCCAGAAGGTATAAAGGTGAGAATGTGTAATTAAGTGTGAAATGCTAACCAGTGAGTAAAAAGCAAGCAGAAGGTAGGGTGGAGACAAGGATTCTGAAAACAATGGGGCCAAACAACGGCAAGACTGGATGCCACGGGAAACCAAGAACAAACACGATCAAGATAGAATTACAAAGAAACCATTTCATATTCACATATGCTCACTGAATTTTAAACTCAGAAACGCATATTACTTTCATTTTAGTTGTTCTTTTTTAAAAGTTGTACCTTCTAACTTACTTTTGATTTGAAATGAAATGAAATATAGAAAATCACCAGCTGGAGGTGTAAATAAAGTATTTAACACATAGCATGTTGCCAGTATTATCTTAAAATATTTCCATTTAACTGTCTTTTATAATTTAGGGACTAGAGAGACAGTTCAGTGGTTAAGAGCACCTGTTACTCTTGCAGTTCATTTTCCATAATCCACATGTTTGCTTATAACTGACAGTAACTCCAATGCCAAGGAACTTAGTGCCCTTTTCTGGCCTCCCTCGGCACCAGGCAAACATGTAACACCCATACATACATGTAGGTAAAATACTCAAACACTAAATCAAAATGAATATATTTAAAAAGCCCATTAAAAGTTACAAACCTATCAGAAGCAACTTGCCATTCCCAAAAGCTAGAGGGCAGCAGGACACAATCACAGTACTCAGGAATTGTATTCCAAGGAAAACATCAAATAGTCAATTAGAAAAAAATAACATACCACAGCCTTTTTGGTTTTTTGTCTGATTGGCTTCAATCTGTGAGCAATCAAAGGAGATGTAATGCTTCGTAAGGAAGGTTTCTGATGACCCAATGTTGACTCCATACTCCTATTCTTGCTTTGTTCAGCACGAGGATGTAAGGCCAGCTCTTGTTGCATAATCTCAGGGTTAGTATGATGTGCTGTCATGTACTTTGTTGTACTGAGCTGGTTTACAGGATGAACATTAGCAGAAGCATCAGCATTCTTGCTGGCTCTTGTGTCAGTCCAAGCATTTCTTAACATGTCCCGTGAATCTGGATAGCCCTGGAAATCTCTGCTCGGGCTAGTAGTGTTGTGCTCATTAGTTTCTCCCAAATGAGCTAAAATAAATATTTAAAAAGCAGTTTAGTAAAATGGAACATAATGTGCTGACTATAGTAACATTTTTTGGTGGGGGGGGATTGACGTTTGAAGACAGGGCCTTTCTATGTAGCCCCGGCTGTCCTGGAACTTACTATGTAGACCAGGCTGACCTTGAGCTCAACAGATGGGCCTGCCTTGGTCTCCCATGTGCTAGGATTAAAGGCACTACACACTGACTCTAAATAGCACTTTTTAAACAATAGAAAAGTCAACTATAAACATTATACTTAGAATTCTCTTAAAATCAGTAAATTGTAGCCAAAGGGGGAAATGTGTAATTACACTGAGATGACAGATATGCTAATTTCTTCCATGGTAACTGTTTTACTACTTATAACATTATTATTTATCTTAAATATATAAAGTTATGGTTTTTTTAAAAGATGAATCAATTAAGAAAATGAGTTCTTAATTAAAAAAGTATAAAAAGTAATCAAAGGAACATTTAAAACCAGGTTGAAGGATAACTTTTAGTATTCTTACAGCTATAAGAATGCACTAATAGGAAATCAATTTTTCTTTCTCTCTTCTTTCTTTCTTTGGTTTTTTGAGACAGGGTTTCTCTGTGTAGCCCTGGCTATGCTTGAACTCAGAGATCTTCCTGCTTCTGCCTCCCGAGTGCTGGGATTAAAGGTGTGCGCCACCACTGCCTGGAGAAATCAATTTTTCAATCAAAGCAAAACCAATTTACTCATTCTAAAACAAGTCAATGTTCATCAGAAGGGGTTCTGAGAAGAATCCTCAGTCTATAGGAGAAAAGAATATACAAATTTTCTTTAATATAAGGATTGTTTATCAATCTCTACTTAGAAAATGTGCAACTAAAAGCAAAACACTACCTTCAGTATCCCTATTACAAATGTATCTTTACCTGTATATTTAAAAGCTCTTATAGAATTCTATATATTCATATTTCACATGGTTTCAGACTTTACTTTTAAAAAATTTTGTTTGTGCCTGTGCATGTGTACTTTTCTGTATATATGTGCACTATGTACATGCAGTGCCCGACTATCAGATCCTCTGATAGTTACAAGTGGCTGTGAGGGTACTGGGAACTGAACTTGAATACTCTGGGAAAAGCAACAAATGCTCTTAACCACTGAGCCGTCTCTCTAGCCCCTACAGTTCACATTTCTAAAAGGGCCTTAAGTAAATAATTAAATGACATAAAACTCTCTATGGTAAATTTTAATTATCTTTTTCTTTTTTTGAGACAAGGTCTCACTCATGTAGCCTAGCTAGTCTTGAATTCATGGTCCGTATGCCTCAGCCTCCCAAGTTGTGTAATTAAAGGAATGGGCCACCATGTCCTGATGCTTTTTTTTTAAAGGCCTTAAATGATCAATTATATAGAACTCTAGTTTTTCAGTATTAAACTCTCTGAATTTTTAACACAATTTTATCTTAAATGACTTGTAAAGCTTCTTATCTTCACATTCTCAATATAAGGGAAATTATTTTCTATCAAGTTAAAATACTTTAAAATTGGAGCAGAATGACTATATATACCTACATAGAGGCTATTTCTCCATCTCAGAATAGCTCATATTACTAAATAAAAATAACCTGTAAATACAAGACTGCAAGGCAGTTTTGTAGTTTAAAAAACAAACTAATAAGTATATATGGTCAGACCCCTCTTAGACTTCTGAAAACCATACATATTTCTTGAGAAGGAAAACAGACTCCTCTTGACAGGGCATAACAACTCTGCCTAATGAGAGCTATTATCTCATACTCCACACAACACAACACAATGGTGAAAGATGATCTCCTCCAGATGCTGCCTCTTCTCTTTTCCAACCACTATTTTCCACCCACCTTCTGTGAGTGTTGTTCATTAATGGGGGACACTTAATCTCCACATTCTTAATAATGACCTAGGGACAGCTGCCTAAATGTTTGGGGTTTTCTTAGATATAAGCAGAAAGCTGCAGTGTTTGGCAGGTTCCAGGTCATTAAATTTTAATTAAACGCTCCAGTGAAAACTTACCATTCATTTGCAGATTCCCAAACCACTGCTGTACCATTTCCATCTGAGGCGTCTGGTCTGCAAATGGAAAAGGAGTTTTTCCTAGACAATGATGATTGGAACTAAAGAGGGGAAAAAAAATCCCATAAAGCAATTATTGGGGAATGATGGAATGGGGATAGAACCTAGGGGTACATACATATGTACACACTGAATATGCGTTCTATGACAGCAGAATTCCCAGCCCTAAACATTTTAAAGCAGAAACCCTAGAAGAGATTTAAATACCTGAAATTTTAGAATAACTACAGAAAACAGCTGTTTCTAAAACTCTTATGCCAAAATGCCATGGCACCTAATGGCACCACTATATGTCTACTATCCTTTTAGAAATGTATAATTCAGACATTAAAAGATCACATACAAAAACCAAATTAAGCACTAAAATTAGTGTTCATATCAGAAACAGTATCACAGCTACACCTCATTCAGCCTCAGCTTCCTTCTACATGCAGTTACTATTAGTCTTTAGGGATCAGACTTGCTCAATGAATGGTATGTTGCACTAGAGATCTACTCCAAATAACACATATAAATATTTAAACACATTTATGAACATATTCACTTTTAATTGCAATGCTGAGGACTGATATGAGGGCACTATGCATGTTAAGCTACTATTCCTTTCACTGAGCTCTAACCAGCCTTGTATGTACTTTTAAGAGACCTTCATGGTTTGAAAAAAAGACTAGCTTAGAACTTGCTGTCACACAGACTGGATTCAGCTGTATGATCCTTCTGCCAGTGCCTCCCTCCCATGTTCTAGGAATATAGACATGTGTCATCGTGTCTGGCTCAAAATTGTAATTCTAATTTTAACTCTATTCTATTTTATAACTCTACTTTGTTTGGATGCAGCTTTGTATCTGTGCTAACACAATGTTCATCAAAATGTCTTTGAAAGAATTATCCTTACACTACTTGGTCATCTTAAAATCTTTGAAAAGATCTACAACTATTGGCTGTTTTGTCTTTAAAGATGTTAAAAATTGATATTGCTGTTTTGGGGTAAATACCTCTCTTCATTTTCATCCAGGGATCTTCTGGGCTTTGAAAGCATTTCTACTGAATGACATCGTTCTATTGAGTATGTTTTTGCTCGAGACTGATTAGAAGTGCTGGATCTATCAGAGGAATGAGCTCTTCGAAGGTATCGAGAATGGGGCCTTCCTTCTGCATTTTCAATTAATCTTTCCCGTCCCCTATTATTAGTTTCTTGGTCTGGGTTTCCCCAGTGTGTACAAAAATTGCTTCCATCTCCTGAAGAAAAGTCACTTAAATTCTTATTTTTTGGAAATACAGTAATTTTATTTGGAAGTGACTGACCAATCAAAAGTCTTCTTCTGTCAAGTAAGCTACCACTCAAACTGGTACTGGAAGAAGCTGTAAGTGTTGTGGAAATTGTGGCATGCCCACTATCCATCGAATCCTCTACAGTCCCCAAGTCTTTACTCTTTGTTGAAGGATTCCGTGACATGAAAGGATGGTCCAACACAGAAGACAGACTTAACCGATCTGCAGGATTTCTACGAAGTAACTGGTGGATAAGGTCCTGAGCCTCTCGTGACAAAAAGGTTGGCATTTCATAATCTGCCAAGACTACTTTATTCAATGTGTTCTTGACTGTATCAGTGTCAAAAGGTGGTCTTCCAATAAGCAATGTATAAAACATACAGCCCAATGACCAAATATCAGATTCAAGTCCATGTGCACTTCGAGTTGCAATTTCTGGTGAAATATAATTAGGAGTTCCGCAGAGTGTGTAGTGCTTTTCATGTGGCATTTTCAATTGTGTTGCCAGTCCAAAGTCAGCAATTTTTATGTTCATATTACGTGTAAGTAAGATGTTAGAGAGTGTGAGGTCCCGATGTAATATGCCATGAGAATGAAGATACAACATTCCTGTGATGATCTGATGCATGAATTGCCTCGCTGTGAAGATGAACAAAAAAAGAACTTAACAATTCAAAAGTTACAGAAAATCCAGTGTTTAGAATACATGATAAAACCTAGCTTAGACTGACCAACTAAAATATTACTCTAACTAGGCACACCTTCTAATCTTTGCTTTTTCCAACTTATACACTAAGGGAAACCAAATTTTCTATCAGTTCACAGTGTGTAGGGTAGCTAGGGTAACCAGATATCCATAAAAGTTAAGGAAATCATTGAGGGGCTGGGGAAACGGCGCAGTGGTGAAGAACATCTGACTGCTCTTCCAAAGCCCTGAGTTAACGCCCAACAACCACATGGGATACTATAACCATCTGTAATGGGATCAGATTCTTCCTTCTGGTGAGCACCAAGACAGAACACTCACACACAAATACACGAATAAATAAATCTCAAAGGAAAGTTTTTTAAATCATGAAAAACTCATAAATATGTCAGCTGCTAGGGCAAATCTTAGTTTTAGTTCCTGAGTGCCAAGTATGATAAGCAGGCTGCCACATCCATCCAAGCATTTTCATGGATGCTGGGGACCAAATTCCAGTTCTCACACTTGTGTAGCAAGAACTTTACACACAGACTCCACTGTAAACATTTAATACATTTCTTAATACTTTTCTGCATGTTTACATATATTTAAAGCTGCATATACATTATAATAAATGTCTTTAAGATATAAAAAATGGTATAAAAGCTGTTTCATTACCTTTCTTCAGTGTACATGTTAGTTATTTCTCTAACAGATCTTTATTTTATTTAATTGCTGTTTAAAATTTATATAATCTCTGACATTTCAAGATTACAAATAATATAGGAATTAACATTCTTGTGCACACTTATTTTTTGTGTGTGTTCTTTTTCTACACATATATATGAAAACAAAAAAGAACTTAACTCAAAAGTTACAGAAAATCCAGTGTTTAGAATACATGATAAAACCTAGCTTAGACTGACCAACTAAAATATTACTCTAACTAGGCACACCTTGTAATCTTTGCTTTTTCCAACTTATACACTAAGGGAAACCAAATTTTATATCAGTTCACAGTGTGTATGTGAAAATGTGTCAGTTTCATGCCTTTTTAAAAGGCTATATTTTCATATATTCCCTATTAACATCAATTTCAGTGTGTAAAAATGGTCCTTCACTGTTTTGGTTAGCACCCTCAGGACTATTTGGTCTGTGATTTTTATGTTTATTGGTTATTTGAGCTTTCTCCTCAAGGAGAGAGCCAACTCCTCAGAGCTGATCTCTGACCATAACACCACATAACACACAAATGAATAATGAATACTAAAAACAATTAGCAGCCTTATTCCTTAGCTCTATCTACAATATCAAAATCAGTCATAGCTTGAAAGGGGGAAAAAACCAGTAGTTTGACAATATATGGACCTTAATCTGATTTGGAAAAATGGGGGGATGAGTTGAAACACATTTTGTATTTCACAGAAAGATATTAATTTGGAAAAGCTTTGTTACTATGTCCATTTACGTCTCCACTGTAAAGATGTATTACCTGGGGAGTCTGAATCACCCCAAGATTTTAAAAGTTGAACAATAAGCTAAAGGAGTTCCAGCAGAGTGCTCTCAATGTTTACTTGGAAACTTTAGTCATCAAACACATTATAAGTAGTTTCTAGATTTGAAAGCATTTACAGTAAATTGTTACCAATGACTTAACTGAAAATGTGTTTTGGAGAACAGAAGGCTAACAAATGCCTCTCTCTACTTCTGTGATATGATATAAATGCCAGCTTTTGTGGAGACATGATTTAATAAAATAACAATTGGAATAGTTTGATTTGTGGCTGGAGAGATGGTTCAGCTGTTGAAGTGCACACTGCTATTACAGAGGACTCAAGTTCTATTCCCAGCATCCATGGTAACCCTCCATGGGCATGGGCACCTACTTGCATGCACCATAGACACACACTCATACGAATGGCTTAAAAAAGAAGAAAAAGAAACTGTTGAAGCTGAAAGGATTGCTCAGTGGTTAAAAGTCTTGGCTGATCTTCCAGAGGACCTTGATTCCCAAAACCCCAAAGTTGGCTCACAGTCAAGTTCCAGAGGATACAAAGCCTTTTTATGCACTCCTTGGGTACCAGACATACATACAGGTAAAATGTAAATTAAAATTCTCACGCACTCACACACACCCGGGTGTAGTGGCATACACTTTTAATCCCAACACTTGGGAGGCAAAGACAGGAGTCCCTATGTCAGTTCAAGATCGGCCTGGTCTATATATTGAGTTCCAGGACAGAAAGCGCTACATAGTAGACAGACCTTGTCTCAAAACACAAAACAAATGTTTTACTAAATATTACAAAAGAGCACATTTTCAAAACAACACCTTCAAAAGCTAAGCAATTACCAAGATAAAAACTCTTACCTCCCCTCAAGACACCTACCTTCACTTTCTGAGAAAGGTTTCATTCGGTTCTTTAGATACCTGTTCATTTCTCCATTATGGCACATTTCTAATACCAGGTATACGTAATTGTTATCTTCAAAATAATTATAAAGCTAAAACAGAAAAAGAGTTCAGTCAATTACACAAACATCCAGCTTTCTTAACTACTTCTAACACCTTGTATCTTACCTCCAAAATAGAAGGGTGTTTCAACTGGCAATGTATTTTCACCTCATTTTGGACTCTCTGTACCATTCCAGCTTTGTACATGGCTTTCTTATCTATCTAAAAATAAGAAAGGCCAGATTTATTTGATTTTAATGATCCTGTGGTTTGAACCCAGGGTCTTGCGCATGCTAGAAAAGCACTCTGCCAACACTCTATACCCCTAAGCCCAAACAAAAGCCCAAACATCAATCTAAAATTGTCTGAAGTCTTTTTATGTCTTTGAAGTCAACTTACTCTTCTCTATGTTTAACCCTTGTACCTAGAAGAAGGAATTTTCTGTATGTCCAGTGTGTTTATGTTACAAGAGGTTGGCTTTGAACTTCTGATCTTCATTTTTCCAACTCCTCAGAGCTGTGATAACAAGCATGCCACACCATGCTTGACAATAATGGTAGTTTGGATTATTATGGCCACACATAAATAAACAAATAAATTGTTCTGACGTCTTCTAATTGCCTTTAAGTATTCATAGTAACAAAATGTACTAGTCTCTGGAACATGGCTAATGTATAAAAACTTCACTTAGCAACACTGTCTTTTGGCTATGCAATGGCCCGCAAGCACACACACATTGTGTGTGTACAGCCTCTAGTAGACAAAGACCGTGACATTTTAAATAGCATGCCTCTCTAGTACCTTGCAAAATACTGGAAAGAGGGTCACTAGTGCGTTCTTACCATTTTGATTGCAACTTCCAAGCCGGTGTGGATGGACTCTGCTCTGTAGACGCCAGCAAATGATCCTTTACCGAGTAGATTTCCAACCTTAAAGTCCTTAAAAAAGAATTAAGATTATACATGATGACTCGCAGAACTACAAAGTAAGAAACTTGGGTAGGAACTGTAACAAATCTGGTAAAATGGGCCCGAGCGGAAATATGACAAGGTTCAAGCAGCCAGCAGACCTCGATGATGCAGGTGTCTGGGGTGTTTGGCATCTTGATGCTCCGCGGGACTTCCTGAGCTCCAGCGAGGATCAAGACTGACTCCTCTAATGACCTGGTTAGTTCGGTTCCCTCCTCCCGGCCACCCGGCTCCCGCCGCCGCTCCCGCCATCGTAACCGCCATCCCTGGGGAGGAGCAGGCTGAGCAGCTCCCCGCGCGCGGCTGTGGAGGCGGGAGTGCGGACCCGACGCCGCGGGATGCAGACCGGGCGGGGCTCACAGCTGGAGACACACCCGCTGGGTACCAGGCTCCCCACGGCGGGGGTGGGGGGGAGCTCCGAGGGGCGGGCCGCTCCGCCCGCCTCTCCACACCCCGGCCCTACCCTAGCGCCGCCCGCCCGCCCGCCCGCCCGCCCGCCCGCAGCACCCCCGCCGCACACAAGTGCCCGCTGAGCACCCGTGAGCGCTTAGCCAGGGTGTCCCTCAGCCCGCGCCCGCCTCGCGTCAGCCGGGCCTGCCCAGCGCTCGCCGCCCCACCTCCCCTCCCCGCTCCGCGTCTGCCCGCCTCACCTCGATCCTCTCCCCGATGCACGCCGCCATGTTCCCGGGGCTCCGGCGCCGCGGACTCGGCCGTCTCGCAATCCCTCCGAGGCAGCGCTCCGAGCAGCCAGCGGGTCTTGGCGCCCATCAGGCTGCCTTGTCTATGCCGCCGCCGCCGCTGCCGCCGCCGCCGAAAGGTACCCCCGGTACCTCCTGAGGCTTGGGCGGCGCCTCGGTGCTTCCATTTTGAAAAATTCCCGCCGGTCTCTCTGCGAGCCAGTCTGGCGGTGACGTCATCACGCTCGCCACTTCTGAGCGGATGAGAGCGATGCGCATGCGCAGCAGGGGATTCCGGGCCTCCCGGCTCTACGCCGGAAGTGGGTAATAGCGGGGAAAGCGGTCAGTGTGAGACTGACGGAAGCGTCCACTGGAGCGGAGAACCTTTGGAGATGGTGGGTAACGGCCTGACCTGAACGACGACTCGGTTTCAGAGCCAGGGGCAGAGCGCAATAGTAGAGGGCCTTCCTTGCACGCGCCGGCTCTGACTTTCCGTGGCAAATGTTTTGAAACACTTTAGACTTAACCTACAGAGAACTGGGAGGTCCAGTTCACACATTTAGGACGCAGAGTCCGTTGTCTTCATCTACACCGTTGTGGTTTTTCCTTTACAGCTATTAAATGTGTGTGGTGATTTAAGAAAACGGACTGATTGAGACCTACTTAAGTAGTAAAATGCTCGCATAGCATTTTACCACTTAACAAGCTCCTGGGTTCCAGTCCCTCCTCTCCCAGCACCCGCCCTCCGCGCGCCCCCAGGCGTATTAAAAGCTGGGCATAGCGACTCATTCATGAAATTACAGCACACGGCAGGCTAAGGTTTTGCCCTGAGTTTGGGGTCAGCCCTGGAGTCTTTAACATGCTCTGGGCTAACCAGGGCTACCTGTCTCATAAAAATTTATTCTGGGCTGTATGTGAGTGAATGCTCTGAAGAAAGAGTAGTTGTAAGGATCTTTACAAGCAGAAAAGTGGCAATTACAAATCAGCATTACTAAGTGTACAGGCAGGGTTTTGCGTTTTAGCCTAACTGTCCTGCGATGTCAGATGTAAAAAGATCATAAATAACGACTTGTTTTCTGAAGGCCCTAAGTAGTGTTACCTCTCAGTCTGCCTGTGTTTTTCCCCTTTAAATAGAATTCCCACTAGTGTTAGCTAACCAGTCTAGATTGCTATCCTCAAATGCCAATGACTCCAGTACACGGAGTAAGATAAGGAAAAAAATTCATTTGGATAAAGAAAAAATTTTAAAAATTCACTTGGAAACTCAGCAGAGCTTTTCGGTTGCTAACAAAGATCATCTTAGGGGACCACAGGTCTCAAAGGGCAATTTATAGTCTGGGATAGGACCCGGAGGCAGTGGGCAATTTGTAAGTGAGGTCCTCATTTGGGTCCTTTTGTGTTTGTATTAACCTTGAGATAACCAAATTTAGGCCAGTCGCCACACTTTTTTTCAGATGAACACATCGTTACCCTGCAAGCTAAACATTATTTTTCAGATTGGATGCAGTGACTGAGCACTGCTGCCCTTAGAGAGGACCACATTTAGTTATCAGCACTCATGGTTGTCATGTAACTTCAGGTCCAGAGTCTCTGATGCCATCTTCTGGCTTCTGTGGGAATTACACTCACATATACAAACCCTTAATCACACATACTTTACAAAAATAAAATCTCAAAATAAAAACCTATTGATCGCATTATGTGCTAGACATCCTCAGAGCTGCTTGAAAACAAAGATAAATATGCTTGCCATTTGGAGCAGAAACTTTTGTGTTCAGAGACACTTTATAATTAACATGTAGTTTGCATATACAGTGATAACTACACATAAAAAAAACCTTGAATTTAATGGGTTCAGTTTTAGTTTAAGGAATGTTTACATTTATAGAAGCACTCTTTATTTTCAACACGATTTAATGTTCTAGGAGTTTCATTTCAAACACGTGCATATAGAATTTTTGTAATGTGTTAATAGGCAATTAAATTTTTTTTTTAATATAGGGTCTTGCTATGTACCTCAGGCTGGCCTTGAACTCTTTTCTAGTGCTGGGATTTTTGGTGTATGCCACCATGTCTGGCATCATAGATGAATTAGACAGTTGCCTAAATTCTGTATGATAGTCTTTGGTATTCTGGGCTTTACTTTGTTGCCTTAATGATTTTGTAAGTATCTAATGTGTATTTAAAGTTTGTCAGTCTATTAAAATGTCCATGATTATTGATATAAATCCATTACATTCAATCACATTTTGTTCTTTTATATATTTATTGTCTATCACTGTTCCCATGGGACTCACCTTCATTGCTAGTTACTTTATATGCTCTAAAACTTGTGTCAGAGCTGTTATATTTTGTAGTCAAATTATCTATAATCAAAGCATACCCTGTTTACATTCTAATTAAATTTGTACTATTTATGTAGGGGGCACGAAATATTTATATCAACACATTTGGTATGTATCTTCTTAGTATAACTTCATCTGTTCACTTTTGGGTCTTTCTGATAGCCACAAATCCTATACTTCTTAGTTACTGGTATTTAGATTTTTATTTGCTTACTTAGATACAAGGTCTTTGTAGCCCTGACTAGCTTGGTATGTGAATGAGGTTGACCTTGAGCTCAGAGGTCCTCCTTCCCCTGCCTCTCAAGTACTGGAATTAGAGATGAATACCACTGTACCTGCCTTCATCTTGTTTTTTGAGACATGGTCTCTCACTAAACCTGTAACTTGCTAATTGGCTAGATTAGATGGGTCATCAAGCCCCAGGGATCTCATTTCCATTTCCTTGGTTAATGGTAAGTGCTACTACTAACCCCAGCTTTTTTAAAGTGGGTGCTCCAGATTCACACGCTTGTACTTGCAGTTCCTTTTTATTATCAGTGTGTGTGTGTGTGTGTGTGTGTGTGTGTGTGTGTGTGAGGGGGGGGGACTTTCCCAGCCCAAGGAGCAGCATTCTTTTTTATTTTACCATGTGTGTGTATTCATACCAAAGCCAGGACAACTTTGTATAGCTGGTAACTCCCTTTACATCATGGGATCTAGAGAATAGACTCAGATCCTTAGGCTTATGTAGTAAGTGCTTTTATTAGTTGAGCCACCTTGATGGCTCCAGGAGCAGCAAGTCATAAACAGATGACCCAGGAAGTTCTTCTCAACTTACTGAGAATTTCCAAAGCTTCCCTTCCATCAACACATCTAACATTCACAAACTACCATATACGATTTCAGAATTAAGTGAAAGTTTGCAAATCTTGCCAGATTACTAAAAAAAGTCTCATTACTATGCAAATTTCTTTAAAATAATTTGGAGACCTGTCCTCAGTGTTTCATAAAATGCAATGATTAGAGTTCAACACTTGAAAATTAAACCTCTGGTGTGCAAAACTCAGGGTTCAAGGAGCAGGTAGAATATGTATTTATTATTATTACATGACTTCTTGACAATGTGAACTGACATCCAAAAATGAATTGCATTTATTATCAATTGTTACTTGTTTGCTAGTAGGAAGTTGCAATTTACATACATAGGAAATGTTTTATATGCTTTGATCATTCCATATGCAAACATTTTGTGGATATTTTTGTGAACCAAAGTCATATTCCAAAATATTTGTAGAATATTATCAGTTGACATTGAAAGCCAGTTTTATGTCTGTTCACTGAAGATAATGGTCTATTATGTCAAACAAAATTATTTTTATAGACATGTCACATTTGATTATAATTTTCTGCATTGCAAACAGAATTGAGAAATCAAATGTTCAGTTCTAAAAGGAAGGAAACTAAGAAAGTTACTAAGAATTAAACTGTCAAAAGTTACCTTACAGGAATAACTGGAGTAGAGTCATTTGTACATAGTTATAATGGTTGTAAAGAAGACTGGAATACCATTTTACCAGAACTGAATAATTTAGTATAGCTTCTTTTACAAACTGTTTCTGTGTAGTATGATGTTA